GACGTGCCGCACCGGTCTTCTCTCTCTATTTCGAGGGAAGCCTTCCAGCGAAGCACTTCCCCCTTGTGGACCGTTCTCTACTAGCTCCGGCAAGGAGAGCGCTTTCGGACTGCAACATTGTCGACGAGTATAAAGCCACAAATAGGTGAGGGAATGCAGCAGCTTTAGCGCGCTAGCAGCGCACCGGCTGCTGACAGATCGTCGCAAATCGTCGAGAAGCGCTCTCTGTAGAAACGAATCGCTGCCCAGCCAAGAGGACACATTGTCGCCGGGTATCGCGACCCGCCTGTCTATACTTCGGCGCATGCTCTCCTGCAGCGGAGGCCACTTTTCACACAGTCTACGACCAAAATGGTCGGACCTCTGCTCACGCAGCATTAAGCTATGCCCTGGTTGCACTTCAATCCCTGAGGGATTGCGAGTGTTTGCGATAAAGCACTTCCAATCCATCTCTGCGTCCACGGACCTTGCTTCCGTCTGATATTTCTTGTAACCGACTCCGATTACTCGCTTTCTTCGCACCCGACAAACATATGAAAAAGAAATACTCGATTGCGATTGATCATGCCAACGTCCCATGAATACAGGACAAGAAATAGAGGTCGCCTTGATGTGTTTTAACTTTATTCATGAGAGGAACCGCGATTTTCGAGAATACCTCGAGAACGCCACCTCAAATTGAAATTATCAGATACAAATACATATTATATATATTATAGGGCAAGGTTTCATTTTTTTGCTAGTATCTATGATCTAAGAGGAGCATTAAAATTTGATCCACCATCTTCCGTTTCCGTGGTAAGTAAATATAATTTTCTTCAACTAGCAAAAGCCACCCCGTGTAAGCGTGAGGTATTTCCCAGAATATGCGCATATAATATTTCCCAGATTAATATACGAGTGAAAATTACGCTGGACCAACATCTTCCGTATTGAGTACCTATCAGTAAATCTGAATACTACACTTACATAAGTATCCCAGTGCATAACTTCATGCTGTTGGCGGATTGTGACCTTAGAACTAGCACCATCAGCGAAGTCGCTGCCCCGGCTCCCGAGTTTAACGCATCCCCCATGCAAGCTGACGCGGTGCCATATTGTTCGAGGATGCGCACTGCCATAGGAATGAGCCACGGCTGTTCCAGGCGCGGAGGTGCCAGACACTCGTTTGGACCGGTGACGAAGTCCTCGCCGCTGCTCACGTGCAACGCCCCTGTCTTGCCGTCCTGCGCGTAGCATGGTGCGATGTCCTCCTTATTCTTCCACGCAATACAGTCAGTGTTGCCGTAGTGAAGTTTACTCAACAGCTCGGCATCCCGCTCCTCGTTGATATCCCGATAGCCTACGTCAAGATTTGAATCAGTCTCATCCTCAGAGTCGTGGGTGGCAGCGGAATCTTTCGACGCGTGCTTGCTCTTTTCCGCTTTCCTTGTACTACCATACGAGCTTCTGAACGTCGTAAACTTACTCCTTTTACTTTAGAGCTATCAAAAATGCCGTGCCGAACATGTAGAACATTATCAACTCTTCTCCATATTATTTCCATGGACTATATCAATCGCACTTCTTCATCTCTGTAGAAGTTCACGCAAGCCCTATCAGTGAATAAGAATGGGGATGACATTCTTTGACAGCAATTCGCCTTAAGTCCTATCCGATTTTGCGACAGAGAGCTCGCTGTTCCATACGTATTTCTTCTTTCTGCTTGCCCATACAGTACCTTCACGCAAAACGCTGCGGCACCAGAACTGAAAGAGAAAAACGCCGAAAACTCCTGCAGCGCGCCCTGGCTCGGCGTATACTAGCAAGTCGTCGCGCTGATGACCTGACTCCATCAACAACCTACGACCTCGCCCTGGGTCATCTCTATTACTCGTTAGGGCAGATCTCATTGACAGCTGCCGTGGAAGCGCGGCTACCAGGACTAAGGGCTGGTTGAGCAGAAACTCAGGCATCCCTGGGGCTCGGAAATGCGCCCGATAATATTCACACAGCGGATCTTTCTTTTCTGTCAGTTTCGCGAAATCTCCCACCAGGAAAAATCGAAGCATTAGAGCCAAAAGAAGAAGAAGAAGAAGAAATCGGGACGAGCACGAAACTCCCAAAAATTATACATAGATAACTACCTTAGAGTACAGGAGGAACTCATATGAGGCGTAATTTCTCCCGCCACGAAGTCATGAAATTACGCTCATTTGCAATAGTGACCGGGGTTCTCTAATATTTTGCATCGATGCTGCGTCTAATCATTTGGATCTATCATCTGACAACCACCTACTTGGGGCGGAAAATTTCATCTTTGTCATCAATAATTTAGGTGCGTGGCGCGTAAAGACATGTATCGAAGTTCCCTTTCAAGCTTTTCTATTGCCTCATGCACCTCTTCGCCTGTCCACCACTTTCGCCGTGGCTCATGCCTCCAGTCTCCCAAATCCAGAGGGAGCTCCCTTACAATCATCTCCCCGATGATGTTGACTCGTGTCCGAGCCTGGCGCAGCCGTTGCTTACGTGACGCCAGCAACCCACTCGTAGATGCGGGAGAACCTCAGTTGAAACGCGCAAAATGAAATTTGTAGGAACTTGCACTGAGAGTTCATTTCTATCCAATTCCAAATAAAAGGGTCAACCACTCATATTAGAAAACCAGCTAGTACAGTATAACAACACCAGTTTCTTTTTTCGTATAGATAGATCGTAAACAAGTACCTATTTCTTCGCCAGGAGGCTGCTCGGCAACTGGCGTTGTTGCTGGTGCAAGTCCCATCTCCAACTTTTCTTCCGGCGACAACATGATCCCCATCCCGGCATCGAATCTACGCTGTAGCGCAGAGACGCGACGTTCATGCTCCAAAACCAAAATCACATCAAGTGGTACATGCTCGTGTTTAAGCGGCGGTCCATCCGCAGTGGCCGCGTGAAGGTCTGAATTGCTCTCCGAGGCCGAAGCTTCTTCTGCCTGTTCAAGCCATTTTTGCAAATCAACATAGTCCTCATCGAAATCGTCCTCGTCGCCGCCATTACCGTGGTAAGGGCCCGTGAGACGCGGCCCGCGCCACTGTGCGAGGTAGAATTGCTGCAGGAGCCCTCGGAGACGCAACAGCGCAAAGGCCTCTTCACAGTGCGGTTTTCCAAGCACATCTTCCAGCTCCTTTTTGGTTGAAAACCCTACCACGTTGTTTGCGGTCACATTGAAATCGATCTTACTATCCTTCTTCTGCCGGAGCGATTTGTGCATTTTGGCAATGGCGGTCCGGTGCTTCCCAAAGCATCGCCGCATGCGCTCGACGCATTTCCCAGCAGACCAGTCGCACAGAATGCTCCGCGCCTTCCGCTCGATCTCGGCGTATTCACGACAACTATTCTTAGAAGATCTAGGCAGAATATCGAGGAGTACGTTACTGATGGACGAGTAGACTTGTGTCGTGGATGTGGAACACTCAAGAAGACGCATTTGTGAACGCACCATCTACGATAGTGAGCAGTACTCACTACTTACATTCTATGGAACGGATAAGAATTTCTTTTTCTACCACACATTCACATTGTGCACAACATCAGGACTATAAAGTATCTACCATATTGCGCCAAGTGAAATTTTGTGAATTTGCGCACTCGTCGCCACAATCAACCTACTTAAATCAAGAAAAATCGACATTTTTGACTCGCCTTAATTTTGCTGTGCGATTCTGCAGCACGGTCCTGACAACTCTTGGAGCAAAATACTGCGATCTGACAGGTTGGACACGTGACAGCAATCTGCAGTGCGTGACCCAGAGTCTCAAAAGCTGTGCGTTGCATCTTCTCTTCAGGATGCGCTTTGAGCATATCGATCGGCTCTGCAGTAGAATATGTACTTTTCGAGGTGGTCGTTGAGCTTCTCCTTCTAGTTGAAGAAGGACAAGAACTACTGCCTGTTTCTTCTCGAGGTGACCCGGTACTGGCAGCTCCGGCTTCACGGCAGAAAAGCTCGTAGTCTTGTTCCGCTTTGTCATGATCGTCGGTGCGCAACTCATAAAAACAACCATAGCAGAACCGACGCAGGCGTCGTCCGTTGTTGCTGTGCTCGCGATAGTCTGCGGCCACAGCAAAAACATCGAGCAAAGCCTGGGGGCCGGCAACTGTGGGACCCGACATCCTGCCTCCTCTAGTCAGAACGGAAAGACCACAGAGGAGGTGGAAACGCGACCGGAGACAAGCAGAAGGAGAACCTCAATCCTGCTACGTCATCATTCGCGAACTCAGGACCATCTTTACCGCATCCCAAGGAGCCATTGCCGGCTCACAGTTCACAGACGCGTCCAGAATCAAGAAATATAGATACGTACATTTTGAACTGTGCATAAACCATCCATACCACTGATATCTTCTACTCACAAAAAAACTCAGATCAAAATCCATCATCAAAGTCCAAACTCCAAAGACGAGAATGAAATTACGTGGAGATGAATCGTCAAATGTGGCAGCAACGGTGATTGATCAGGGCAAGACGACAGTTACTATCAGTATTTTACCAAGAAACGCTATGCTGGTAGGAACATTCATCATTACTTATGCTGTTGACGCATGAAAAATAGTACTTGGTACAAAAGCAGGAAAATATGGGTCTACTTCACGCTATGAAAAAAAAAGGGCGTTATAGAGCGAGCCAGAATCAAATGCTCATAGAGTGCAAACAGACAACTACTATAGGTAGACGGAAACTATGAAGATCTCATCCTGTTCCTGTGTACAGGCTGAGTTCACTATGGGATTGAGTGCTTCAGTGAATGAAGCGCACTCTTATGAACTAACGAAATTCTGTATCAGCGAGAAATCTAGATGAATCGGGAAAAGGAGTACAAATTTACTTCCTGTAAATGAACGCAATTTATACATAGATAGATCCTGTTTCCAGTACTGCAGAACCACTCGCATGAGCCAAGCGTGACATTCTAACGAAAGCCTGAATCTCCGACATCGGGGAAAGATTTTTACGACTTCATCTGCCGTGCTGCTCGGCCATCCTCCCACGTTCAGGATTCGTCCCTCAATCCGCAAGACAGTGTGATCAACCCGAGAAACGCAATCCATGATGTTGTGTTTCTTGGATTACTTCTCACAAGAGTCGAGATGTTTCATAAACTTGTCCTGACAACAAGTAGAATAACATACGCTTTGCGTCTGAGCAAGTATGAAGAAAAAGTAGTAGCGCATTGTTCCAATTTAGTACTATATATAATGATTGTATATGATGTGACACGAACTCCATTGTTCCCACTTTTTGCGATGATTTCATGAAAGCGTCACCCATCTCGCTGCAAACGGCATCCACTAAGACCCATCGCCTTCGTCCTCATCCTCTTCATCGTCGATACCTCCACCGCTGAGCATAGCCATTGTTGTGGCCATGAAGGCGTCAAAGCCGCCCTCACCGAACATGCCAGCCGCGAGTCCTAGCATCGCGCCTGCAGCTTTTTGCGTTTGTTCTTCGTTCTCCTCATCTTGCGCGTCTGGTCCCATAGACAACTGTAAACCCATGCTCCGTTGCAGTGTGCGCTCCAAAAGCCGAACCAAATGAAGAAGAAAGGTGAGACAGAGGCGAGCACTGTGGGCGTATTAAGTAAGCAATTCCAGTTGCGATGTTCTTCTTTGTTCTGACTTGAGTACATTCCAATTCTTCATCCTAGAAGTCTATTGCACAAGATGCTTTCTGGCATGGAGAATACACCTGGCCGAAAAATCTTTAGAACCTCACCCTTGATGTGTAGGATGTTGTGGATGGTGGAATCTGACGAATATGTAAGTACAATTACGTGAACTAAAAATTGTATTCCACAGTTGACTGCTCGAGCCTTCCTTTTTCAGTGTGCGTATCATAGTCCTTTGAGGTTGCTTTCTCTCCAGCCTCACAGCGCTCACAGGTACAAACGTCCCACTCTCGCAGAAGGCCGTGATGCGCACAGCCTGAATAGCCTTCGGAGTACATCACCCCACAACAGGTCCAGCGGAAGCCAGCTAATCCGGTGTCACCTGATGAATTTTTGAGAAACAAATAAGGACTTAGGATTGAAGCAACAAGAATGATCGATGCAAAGTGACTAGAAAAGTAACTGGAGCTATGATTTTCAGGAGCTATTTTTCAAAAAATGCATCTTCAACAAAAACGCGGCACGCAGGGACGAAGAGAGCAATGCAATTTCTTACGAGAAAGTTTAGTTAGTCAGACTCAATAGGTACCACTTAGTGCAAAAGTTTCTTCGCACAAACCGCACTGAGCGAAGCGATCTCTTTTCCGCTTTTCCTCCTTGCTACCAACTTCACAGCCTGCAAAACCGTAAGACGTAGTACCACATCCAGTTTTTCTACCCCGCCATTTGACGAGTTCCAACCTTCCTCGGTGCGCCGGACCTAGCTTCGTGAAAATAGGCAAAGCAGCCGTGGTGCCATTGTCTTTCTTCTCTTTCCTCTTCACATCTGACGGGTCTACTGTCGCGCTTGAGGCGTCACTATCAGAAGGATCCGTGAATTAGACCCGACCTAAAGCTAAATCCATTGGGAGACGCATCCCGGGAGCGTGTTCCTCTTAAATAACTCTCTCGGGATGCTTTTGGTGCAGATGGATCTACTAAAGTAAAGCCATAAGTTGATGATTCCCTCGCCACGACCTCTTTTGCTTGTCGAGGCTTCGCACCCCTGACCCTTCCTCTATTTGCTGGTTCTGTCGCCGTGCTATTTGAGGTCATGGAGCTACTACGCGCGGATCTTGCTGCTCTGCGGGGACGACAAGGCATGTTTAGAGCGTGTTTGCGACCGCAGTTAGTGCACCGAAAACTCTCACGCCACCACCCGACTTGATCCACGGGTACTGTGGCACAATTCCCAGGCGCAATGAACGAGCAACCGTTTCCCTCACTCTCGCACATGCGCTCCAACTTCTTTGCTGACAGTGGAAGGTGATGCGCGTCTACTTGCCGCTTCCGGCGGGCCGCTCCAACGAGCTGCAGTTGCTGTGCAGCTGCTGACAGTTGTGCTACTCTTTCTTTTGATTTGTTTGCCTGTTTCTTTGAGCGGTGAAGAGTCTGGCCAGAATTCGCTGAGACAACACCGGTGCCAAAAGAGACCCTTTGCTTCTTTGCAGTGCGTTCGCATGCGTCTTCGTCTGTATCACCTCCTAGGGGTTGATCTTTCGCTGCTTGTTTTGCGCTTGCATCCAGTTGTTTTTGTGGGCCCTCGCGGACGAGCAACATATTCTCTGGTTTTATCGAAAGCATCGGTCTAATTATTGGCGGACGCTTCGGGACCGCAGCAGTTGCCGCAGAAGACTCGCTTGTTGAAGTTTGATTGCAATCTACACCCGACGTTCTGCTCTGTCGGCTGTCGAAGAACGAAGCCCAGCTCTGACTCGCATCCGCCGTTGTGAGTGCCCGGGGGAGCGACGAAGAGTATAGCAAGGGTAGAGTGCCGACAGCAGTTGTAACAGCACCTCCGCTAGCAGCCTCCACCGTAGCCAGACCGATCATATCAGATCCGCCAAGACCAAGAATATTATAACTCTCGCCATCTCGCTTTTCAGCGTCCTGCTGTTTTCCGGTAGTATCTTTTGCACCTGCCTGAAGCAAGTTTTGATCTTGCCCTGCTTTGCTGCTGCTTTTCTCTCTATCTTGCGCGGTAGAATCTCCTGTCGCGAGAGCCGCGCAAGCTGCGTTTGCTTTTGCTTTTGCTTTCGCTTTGGTTTTAGCTGCTTTCTTAGAAGCTTTTCTACCAACTACAGGAGCCCAGCCTTCCTCAGCGTCGATCGGGGCGACGGTATTCATCGGAGAAGCACCTTGTAGATTGCGTTGCGCATCTCGAGCAGCGTCAGCTTGCTTTTTTCTTGCTTTCGCCCTGATTTCCAGTCGTCGCGTGCCTTCTTGAGCTTGACGCACCAGCGTCTCTACATCAGTTGTTAAATGGAAACCAAGCGGGCCAGTGGACCCGCCTACCAAACGAGGTTCTACGAGGAAAAAATTATCAAAGCTGCTGTTACAGATCGAGTCGACCCGCGCGAGCACGCCGTTGTAGTCGGATAGGCGGAGCAATTCGAGTGGACACTCAGATGCGGCGATCTGCACTGTCCGCACCTGCGTTTCGCAATCCGCAAACACAGTCCACCTCCAGGGCGGTGCCTCAATAATAGGTGGCACAATATTGTCGCTCTCGGCTCCAGCTGAAGAGCTCGCTTTCGTGCCATGGATTGTAGTGCTTTGGCTTTCGCATATATTGCCGCTCCTATTCATAGCGTCACTCCCCTTACCAGCATCGGCCTCATCTGTAGCTGCGATCACGACTGCGCTTGCCTGTTCAGGTTCCTGCGGAACTGTTATCTCGATTACCAGAAGGCACTCGCCCGTATCAGCGTCGGTGACAAAAAGCTTTGGTGGGGTTGGGGTGTCACCGCTCAGGTTTCTCATGACGATAAGCGAATCCAGGAGCGTAGGCGGGTAATCGTCATGGGTCACTGGTGTAAACTTCCCGTCTTTGAGCGCGGGAGTGACGCTCGTACCGAAAAACTTCCATCCTTTCTCAACTACATTCTTCATCTGCTTGGTGGTGGCTCCGGTCCCACTTGAGACCATGTCCGGGTCCAGCGCTTCAATCGCAAGGTTGGCTTCTAACAAACTTTTCCTTCGTGCCTCCCTCATCGGATCCTTCGTTTCTCCCTTGTTTTTCTCGCAAAAAATAGCTCTGTAGTTAAATTTCAATGTTGCACTTCCGTCGTAGTTCACTAGAAAATTTTTCATCTTTTTCATGTAACCTGACCACTTGGCAAGGCCTCCCACGTCAGCGAAAAGGCTCCTTGCGCTTGGTGTGTCGACCCAGCAGTCTTTCTCTTTGTTCCATCGCAGTTCTCCCGACTGCAGCGCACCTCCGATTTGCTTCCAAATCAACCCGACGAGAGCATCTCCAGTACCTCCTTGATGCGCTCCCGACAAACACAACGACGTCTTGTTGCACGTACCGGTGGTATCTTGATTTTCATCTCCTTGTACAACATTTTCAAAATTGCGCTTTAGTCTTTCGTCCATTTTTTCGCTCCCACTTCTACTCGCATGGGTGAGAAGTGCTTGAAAATCTGCAGAAGAATGAGCACTACTTCTAGCGACGCTGGTTGCCTGCTCTTGTCCCTTTTCAATGGTAGTGGGAGGTGGTGCTTCTATTGCTTCCACTTCTACTGGTTGTCTTTCTATGGGCGCGATGCTCGTCTTGGTGGACTCAATATTGTGATTATCATATCGGCTGCCTTCTCCGCCTCCTCCTCCGAGTAAATTTTGCGTGTTGCTTCCGAGATGCCAAGAAGAGTTACTTCGTAGAAGTGCGCCTTTGAGTCCGCCGCGAAACTCTAGACCGCCACTCTGCTGTAGGAGTTTTTTCCTTGCCTGGGATTGGAATGTCTCAAAAACATTCTTGTGAGGAACTTGTTCTTGGCAGCTCCTCGCCGATAAGCCTCTCGCTGAAAAAAATGCGTTTTCATCCTCGGTGTCGTAGGCGGAACTGCCAGTCTGCTTCTCTACAAGTTAGAAGACAACTCCTTCAATCAAGTTCAAGTTCAAATAACGCGGTATTGAAAAATAAACGGCCCCACACATCAGTGATGTTGTGAATAATCTACATCTACCTGCAGAGATTACACGGCATCATTAGTCTTTCACCTTGGTACACACTGGCGCCCTCTCTACTGATTGTACCCTACGCAGGTACAATCATGAGGAACTGCACCAGGGTGTGCCATTTTCTCTCAGCTGACAATTAGTATAAATTTAGGAGTCATACTGTTCCAACACCCACGCAGCAAGCGAAGTTGGCCAACTTGGACTTCGCTTTCCTTCGTAGACCCGTTGACACATGTAAAATGCTTCTCGAAACACGTTGCATGCCTGATGAAGATCAGCATCAGCGTCGCGCACTGTCGCACCGTTTTCGGAGGAGAGACCTTCACACGCACTGCCTGCGGTTTTCGCGGAAAGACCCCCGCACGCTAGACGAGACCATACTTGTTGCGCAAGCTTGTCATATCCTGCTGGTGCTCCAAATTGCAAGATGCTCCACAAGTCGCCAAACCTCTTATTTTCGCCTGCACCTGCGGCACCAATTATACCCCTCATCGCCGCTAAACGTGCGATTTTGTCTATTGCTGTGAAGGACTCGGTCGGCATATTTTCACATTCCTGTGGCAGATAATTAGGATCTTCAACCAACTTCAAAAAATATTCCCGAGCCGACTGGTGCTCTTCCTCCCAATTGTCGACAGGCAGAATTGCAGAGCGCTCACTCATCCATTCTGGATTGTCGATTTGCCTTGGACCAAATCGCGCTCGCGCTGAAGTAAACATGCCCCTGGCAACAAGAAGCTTGAGAAACAGAAGGAAGTCTGGGAAGAGAGGATTTGCTCTGTCGACGACATTTGAATCAGGAACCACACATTGTAGCACCTGCTGCAAGCCGCCGCGTAGAGAAAAGTTCTGCGCACGTCGCATCCAATACGACAAGCACATGTTCCTCCAAAGAGTGCCATCGTCATTCCCACGCGCAGTCGATGTCGGTGAAAAATCCTCTGGCTCCGATACGCCGTCCATGCGTGATGCTTTCATCTCCGACCAAAACGCCTCCAGGCGTCTCCTCTCAGTGCCTTCCCCATCGCTATCGCGAGAGACCGGACAGAGTTGGTTGACCATCTCGTAGGCCACCAGAAACGTTAAGTGCGGCTGTTCCTCGGCAAATGTTCGCAGCTGCAAATCTGAACGACTTTTTTGCACTATTCGTCGAAGCGCCACGATTTTGTCGCTGCCAGGCTGCGACTTCAGTCTCAGACGCTGCTGCAGACCATCCACCACGTCCTCACCGTAAAGCGCCAGATGGACATATGCACAACAGAAGCAAAAGAGCAACATTTCGTCATTCTTTTCATCCGTAGCAATTGACGACGAAATGGTGTTTAGTCGAGACGTGGAGCTTGAGGCGGTCGATACTATACCTCGTGCTGAAGATGGTGCCACTCTTGCATCTCGAATTAGCGACCTGTGGCTCTCACCAAAGTCGGATGACCTTAGGAGAGGGATCGAAACAGCTGCGGATGCACCTGACGCCTTCGCAGCGGAGGCATTCGTTTTTGCAGCCGCGTGTTGCTTACTTGACGAGAGACCCGTAACGACGGAAGACAGACCGAAGGAGTACGGTGCGAACGTCCCCGTGCGATCTTCGGTGCCCTTGCGCGCACGCTTCGCCAGCTCAACCGCAGCCTCCGCCAAGGGAATCATCTCCGCAATAATCAGCGTTTTTCGTGAGATACGGTGAACTTTGCGGTCATATTTATCATGCTCGTCGATCAGTGTTGGCGGCGGAAACATTTTTGCCGCCAACATGCCAGCAGCTGCGCACTGGTAGTGGGCGGTCGTCCTCCGTTGTCTTAGCAGGAGAGTCTGTTGCAGCGCAGTTTCCTCGCGGTGGGGTCGCTGCCGCAGCAAGTGAGCAAAGGGGGCGCGGTGCAGCGGCATAGAGTCGTACAACGGTGCGGTGCACGCCGCAAAATGCAAAAAGGCGAAAGCGCGCCGTAGATCGATGATTTTCCCGCTGGCGAGATAGGACGTCAGTGCTGCCTTGTGCGCTCCCATCCCAAAGTAGACAAGAGCGGCGGCGTCGTGCAACCCAGCCCGCTCCAACAGCGACGCAGCATACGCATCGTAGAAGAGGTCGAGACATTCCGGTCGGAATGTAATCTTACGATACCAGAGCTTCAGAGTCGTGTTATCCCCTCCCCGCACGCCCCTGCTGCTGCCATCGGTACCGTCTCCGGTGATAGTTTTCTTCCTGTCGTCCTCGTTTGCGCTAGAGGTTTTTGGTTGCCCTTCCTCATCCACATCTACCAAAGCAGCCTCAAAATCGAAATTCAGGGAAAATTCAGGATAGCCTTCGGTATCCGGCACTACTTGCTCGACATCTGCGTGGAATAACACACGAGCTGTTTCATCCCGCAGAAACAAGCGGACGCAGTCTGCAAGTTCCAGGTAGCGTTGAGCAGTCAGAATCCATAACCTCTCCACATCCTCCCGAGCCGCTTTCTGCAGCTGCTCAGAATTCATCTTACCTTCAGTCTTAGTTCCTCCGTGCGCTTTTGCTCCGTAAGAGATCCCATTATTTTCAGTAGTGCGAAAGTGTGTTCCGGCGCTGCCCTGTGCCTGGCCTCTTCGAGCCCGAGGTTGATTGCTGGCCGTTTTTGTAGCCCGTTCGACCTCTGCGGCAGTCTCTTCCGCCGCTTTCGCGCTCTTTTCGCTTTGCACGGCGGTCGCGAGAGCAGCGTAGGTTGCGTTACCGCTGGCAGCGAACATCCGCAGAGCCTCTGGAAACTCCTCCATCGCTAGGTGCTGTAGACCCTCCGTGTCGTAGTCAATCGTTTCTCCTGGTCCTGAATCCGCAAAATTCGTGATGCTAGCGCACCTTGATAATGCGCCTGTATTGCAGAACAAAAAGCGTGGAGGCGCACAAAGGCATGCATATTGTCCTGGTACAGCAACAGTCTTTATCGTCTCTTCAGTTTCATCGTGTTCAGAAGTGGAGAGGCCGTCGGTGGAAAAAAGATGCTGTCGCGATGATAACTGTTCTAAACACCCGTTAGTGGTGGAGTTGCTAATCGAGGACGGTGAATATTCGTTGAGTAATTGCCGCATGTTCTGTCCGAGTCGTTCGTCGTAAAATATGAGTCGACGCCGCGCCCGCGTGGATGCGGCATAGTGCATGGCCTGATTGCCCACTCCGTGACCCATACGCCTCAAGACATCTTTCCACGGTGGCGGCGACGTCGCGTGAAAGTTCTCAGCAGGTGACGGAGAGAGCGATGAAGCGGCCCCTCTTGTAGTAGCAGTTGCTGTTCTCGTATCTCTTTCTTGCTTCGCACTCGCGCGAGGACTGTTGTTCGACTGACGCTGTGATGCTTGGAGCCTTTCTGCGGCACTACTATCGATCTTGTTTCGCTGTAGCCTCTCTACAATCTCTCCCGCGATAGTGACTTTCTCGAGTGCGTGGCCCGTCTCTATGAGGCCAAACGAGTCAACGGCCTTTCGATAGGTTAGGCGGTCATATCGATCGCGCACGTGGAGTGACATCTCCTCCGCAGACGCGAAGTCACTTGTCGCAGTCGCCTCAGAGAAGAAATTCAAACAAACGCAATCCGTGAATTCGCGTCCCAGGCTCTCTCGCACCGTGACGACAGCCAGCTTTTGGTCAAGGTCCGGGATTCCGTATTTTGTCCCCAGACTGCGCAAAAGAGCGCGCACGCGCCCGACGTCCGCCGACGAGCGAACAATGACGCTATGTGCTGGACACAACACTTTTTCGCCGCGTGCCCAAGGAGATGCCTCACCTAGCTCTTCATCGCTCGACCCACCTGAAGAGTCCACTTCTAGAGACGCTGCATAAGCACGAATAAAATCATGCTTACTCGTACTAGTCTCTTCGCGATCACATGCATTGCTACGTCTAGAAGATGCTGAGGCTCGACCAACTTCATCGTTTTTCGTTGGAACTTCAGTCTGTGGCCGGGACCGCAATCCGAGCAAAATTGACAGAAAGCGCCGCAAGGAGCCGCCAACGACAAAGACCGGGGAAGGTCCCGAAGGCGCGCGCAAGGCTGCAAACGAGTCGATGACTTCTCGATGCTCTTCCAGTCTCGCTTGGGCGACTGGAAGCTCCTTGTCCGAGTCTGCAGCCCGCTCCGCGAAGAAATTGTCGGCATAACCTCGTAGACCATTCGTGGCCCGGAAGTTTTCGTGTAAATACCAACGCCGAGTAACTGGTGGAGGTGGTTTTTTCACACACGTCATTGAAGGTTTCGTGAATCGATGTGAGTAATGCCGCCACCATATTGCTGCAAGAGTGTTCCCTTCATGCAGATCTCTGTCTAGGCCTGTGCTCATAAAAGCATTCATCTTTGTCGTTGGCATCTGCGTGTTCCTCAAGACCCCATCTGCGTAGTTGGGATCGGATGCAAACGCCGCCCGATCCGCGTCTGGGCAGACCATCACGTACAAGAGCAGTTCCTTAGTCATTAAGCGATGACAGTCGTCAATCAGTAGGGCGCCTGCTAGTGGCGGCTGCGAGTCGATAAAATTCTCCCATGTTGCTGATAGCTTCACGGTTCTCACGTCAACAGGCCGAATTTCATCCGACTTTCTGCTAGTATTATCAGCGCTCGTTGAGCTCGCAGTGCGACTGCGTTTGGTGGACCGCGATGACGATGAGGAATTCGAGCCGCTGCTTTTCTCGAAGACAGGCGGATTGTGATCAAGATCGTTTTGAATTACCGATGAATGATCGCGTTTACAGCCATACCTGGGATTCATTCGGCAAAAAAGTGCATGGTAGCTCTCCCACAATAGATTGCACAAGTCCATGCGGTCTACTGACGGCAGCGTGCACTGACTATTACGATTCCCAGGACTGCATCGCATCGACTGTAATAACTTCTGGTACTCGACAAAAAGCTCATACATTTTACGCCGATGGAGCTTTGTCGGAAAAGCGATCGCATTGCTAGAACGTGGAGGCCATAAAACATACGCCTTCTGTGTGAGCGGTCGCGAGCAAGGCCGAGAATCGGTTCCATTGAAGTCACCTTGTCGTTGTGTTTGTGGATCTGTTGTATTTACATTTTCGGCTATATTTGGTTGGTTTGGAACAGCAGCATTGCTTTCTGGAATTGGAGACACCCAAGTCAGAAGCTTAATCACCTCGTCCAGGTCACCTGATTTGATAAGCAAAATTTCACTGAAAACGATGTGAGGGTCGAATGCTGCGGCGCCAGGGCACCGACGACATATTCTTGGCCACATACGCCGTGCGAAAAAATCGGCACCCACTAAGTTTGCTTCTGTGAGCGCCCCCATTGAGAAGAAGTCATCAACGTCGTCTATGAAGCCTCGACTCTGCTCCAGAGCGTGCTCTAAGTCGGCAGTGGATGCTCCCGGGGTGTTGTCTTGTTCTTCTTGGCGCACAGGCAGAAGGGGTCCACAAGGTACCTTCACGATTGCTTGTAGTCTGGCTGAAATTTCTTTCCTTTTTTGTTTCGATTCCTCAGCGACGTGCAGATCCTCTGCAGCCCTCTTCAGGCGTTGTAAGTGGCTGCGCAGAAGCAACGAGATCTGGAGGTGGGACGCGACCAACAGGCGTGGCCCATCACCTGCGGTGTTTGTTTGGTCAGCATCTAGAAATGTGTCCGCCTCCTGCGCTGACGCTGTATGGTTGTGGCCGCTGGGTCCTACAACCATGTTCCCCCGATGGGCCCGAAAAGAAGGGCTACAGCGTCCACGAGACTCGTGCGCCTCTGCTGCGGAAGCCGCAGACTGCGAGGCGCGTGCGAAGAATTCTTGTGCGGCGAAAGTAGATGATGATCCTGTGGTCATTGCTGCTGCCGAAACATATACCACAGAAAAGTGCGGGCTTTTCCCCGAACAAAGGCCATTTTGTGCCTTCTCGATCTGGCTGGCTCCTGATGTACTAGGAACCTTTTCTCGCGCACTTTTCCCCAAAAGACGCAGCGCGCGTTCGAGTAGGAGCGTTGTTTTACCGGTACCTGCACCACCCAAAAGCCACACAAGACCGCGACTCGTTTCGGCTGGCTCGTCTTGTTCAGGCAGCAGCACTACACTAGGAGAAGAAAGTTGCACGACGCACTCCGTCTTTGGATCCATGTTGTCCTCATTGAAGTCATCCGGGCCTAGCTTAGGCTTTTTCTGTTTTGTTGCGGATGTCTGCTTCTTATCGTCTTTGTCTTCACCATCATCATCATCATCGCTCCAGCAGCTGCAGTCCGTATTTGATTCGACATCAGAATCTCTGCTCGTAAACCAAGAATCTAAGCTGACGGATTCCGAGTCACTCTCGTTGTCCTCCGAGTCACTTTCTTCGGTTTCTTCACCCTCGTTTCCACCTCCGCTCGTGTACGGTTTGGAGGCTTCGCGCGACTGCAGTACAAACTTGTCTTTGCTCCACGTGTAGACATCTGCTGGCGCTTCGCATCCTCGCATATGGATTTGCGCCAGTGGGAAGAGGCGACTCTTTAGCTCCTCGTCTACGCCGGGTGTGGATAGATAAATCGGCACCCTCAGGAGACGGCTAACGCGTCGGGCGCCAGTTTCATGCGTCCGGCGTCCTAGGATGAAGTCCATCGGGCCCTTTCCCCTGCGCAGCAGACACTTTTGCAAGTACTGAACGGTTTGCGCTTCCCTAACTACTTCTCGCAAAGCCAGCCGTCGCACATCCTCCAGCTGGTCCGCTCTCATGACAACGGCGTGCACCATTACAACCTGTCTGCAGTCAACCTCTGACCCCAGCTTGCGGCTCCCATGCACTAGAGGCTCCAACGCTGTTGGAAGTGCCAGGGGATCGTTACTTCGCTGCTTCAGTGCCGAAGCGTCTTCTTCAGCTTCGTTGGCCGAGCATTCCTCGTCCTCATCTTCGTCCTCCTCTTCTTCATCCTCGTCCTCCATACTGGCGAACGACTCCGCACAGCTTCCAGACCGCTTTTTAGAAGGCCGCTCCTGTAGTCACATACTAGTACGTCACCATGGGATATCACCTGGTGCGGGTGCCTCATTTTTCATTATTCATTAATTAGAAAATAATGGTGTCGAAGTATTAAGAGAATGTGACTGGAGAGGTACTCGCCTTAATCTTTCTGTTTTCTGCAGCCTCGCTCCCGTGGTTCACCGATCCTCTTTCCTCTTCGTTTGCAGATGAATTATTTTCATCATCTATTGCGGAACCTACTATCGGAGAGGCAAGTGGTCGCCGACCCTGCCGATTAGAGAGCAGCTCTGTCTCTTTTATTATTGGCATTGCAGCAAGACGCTTACGCAGATCTGGCCAATGGTATTTCGCTGGATTATACGCCCGGCGTGCTTCAAAATGGGCGCCCGCGCTTTGGCATGGCAGAAGCGCGATTGACCACAGGATAAAACCTTGACGGGGATGGCCCTCTGCTAGTAGCGGGTTCAGAGGCAACGACTCCACGTTCAAATCAGCAAGGGAAAGGGCATTTTCTAAATCCGATTCATCAAACTCGATTTCCCCATCCTCGTCGGGCTGGAACCGCTTACTCCAGTCATTGACCGGCACACCGACAGTTCGCTTCCAGTGTTCAAATGCTGAAGACTCAGATCCGTTATCCTCTTTGTCCTCGCCTTGTATGGAACAACCTCCTCCACATATATTCTTTCCAATGGCCCATTGATCCAGGTCTCCCTCTCTCACACGCCGCTCTTGCTCAGCATAAAACTGAGCAAGCCCGGCGCGCACCGGGACGCCGCAGTGCAGCTCGGCAAGCCGTTGGCGCACCAAGTCCTGGTGCGGCGCATCCAAAGCCTCCACTGCATTCCGGCAGCTTTCTGGCCACACAACCGTATAGCGGGAACCCTCCTTCCGCAACCGGCAGTCCCGCCCTTTATCTTGCCATTTTTCCATTTTGATGTCTCTCAGTGTTGTGGTTATACAATCTTCTGTAGTGTGGCGCTTCGTCGCTTCCATTTGCTGAGCAGACGGCCCCGGTCTCCCAACAGCCGACACTGTTTGACTTCACGCTCTATTTCTTAGTGAGAACCTCAAGAGGACAACCAGAGCAAGTTAGGTCCGAGTTGCTGTCGTGCCATCCTCTATCAAGACATGGATGCAGATCGAGGTTAAATTGAGGAAATCAAATTGACTCTGAAGATCAAAATACCAGTAACAATACTCTCGTTTGGAAGGGGTATTGCGACTAGTCAACACGATTAAAGGAAAACAGAGGTGGGTGTAGAAAAAAAATCGATCCCTAACTTTCGCTACTTAACTTTCAAAACGATCACACTAACTTCCTTGAATGTCACAGGAGTAGAAATACTGCTCAATCGAAATTGAGAGCGGTGTAGGGCTTAGGGTCTCAAAAATAGTCCGGAGAAGTGTCTTTTAGTCTTAGACTCAAGCACAAATTTCTGAGGACGGCCTTATATGATACAACCTGCGCAAAGCTACTATTACAACAAAAGTTCTGAAAGGCACAGGGCTTAAGGCTAATATAAAAACTAAAAAGTAATTGTGTAGGATCGTACTTTTTTTACAATACGATTGACTATCGGGAAATCCAAAAAAGTGTCTGTATTGAAACCGACAAAAAGCAAACCCTGATGCTAGTAAATTCTGCAGACTTTCTTGACGGTGATGTCTATTTATCTTTGTCCAATGCAAACAGATTTCTATTCTACTTTCAGATCCTCGTTGTACTATGCGTTTGTTGTTAAAGTGGATAGGTCAGAACTACTTGGTTTGTAATGCGGCAATCATCAGAAAACCGAGATTTGTGCCCATCACGACTCCGAAGTATTTTTAGAAGTGGATCACATCTCTGGATGTCAACATCACGCAGCAACAAAGAGTAATTTAGCATCGGTCATCTTCATTTTTTTGTCAATTATGCGTCACTCTTTTTGTCTTTACCTCTCTCAGTGTAACTCACCGTCGCAGTCCTGCGCATCGGTCTTCAGCTGAACAAGAGAGTAGAAGTCATGCAAAACTTGCACCATGACTGTTTTGGTGGCTTTTTCTGTATTGAGTGATGAGGAAAATAAAACAGATCGCTATATTTCTGTGCGCAGAATTGGATCGAGCTGCCGACCCAACATTGAGGACGAGAGTCCAGGTGCTGCCATCAGGCGAGAGTTATTTTGGCTAGCTGGCTAGCCCTCCAGACTAGCCCACTAGCGGCATCAATCGCACGAAGATGAAAATAACACGTGAAACTTGAGTCTGAGTGTGAGGAAGGCGTGCGAGAGTGCGATAGATGCCGCAGGGGCGAGTGTGAACGGACTACCGAAAACAGGGAGGGAGAGGATTTTTTGAATAAAGAGAATGAGAACCGAGTACGAAGATGAGAATTGAAGACAGATGCGAAGCGATCGCTAGAAGCTTCGAGTTTAAGATTCGAGTAAGATTCAAATCACGCACGAATGTGCGCGCTGCGCGTAGGATGCGCAGCCCCCAACGATTCGAATGATGAGAAGCGACGAGCGACGCCAGCAAAGAAACCGCTCGCCTAAATTTGTTATAGCGAACACCTGCGCTGTTCTAGCATAACTGAAATTCCGCCAAGCTGAGCACATGCTGCAGGCTTGGTAAAGATTGGCGGCGTATCTAATTAAGCTTGACATTGACATCTAAGCCTATGCAGCCACGCGTTTCACAGTGATAGAAGCTCGCTGCATCTGCTCGTTATGAAGTCTTCGGAGATTGCCTTTGTCAAAATTGTTTGTTCCATGAAAAATGCAGATCGAATCCAAAACCGTTAGTCGAATACACCAGATCGTTAATTCAGAGAGAGAAACCAATGAATTCAGGAGCAGATTTTTTAGCTAGTAGTTGTGTTATGACATGTGATCGTGCGCAGGCTTGGGGTTTTGAGGAGATATGCGAAGCCTCCACTTCCTTGGAGCGCAAAAAAGTGCTATACACGGTGGGGGGATCGGGGTTATAATCAACTTGTTCTGTGTTATCATGTGAAGGCAGAAGTGGGTGCGGGTTCAACCAGTGCAAAATAGCTGACAAGCACGACAGCGGCTATGAACAGATTATCGTAGGCCGCACTCATCCCCTCTGCAAATGCGATGACTGCGGCAATGAAGAGTCGCTCTATGGGACTTCCGAAGGCCAATGAGAAATACCTTTCAACGATTGGTTTATTTTTGTTTTCGGGCTGAATTGTGGATGCACCAAATGAACAAGGCGAATCGTGTCTTATAAACTGATCATAGTAGCAACAGCAGGTGGTCATGCACACTCAATGTCTCGTCAGGAGACCAAATCAAAGTTTCAGAATCTCATCGGCATACTGCCAGCGAAAACTTTAAATACCCGGCAGTGAACACGGCTAGTGTGCCCCCCACAGTTTTCTTTCCTATCCATGCTGGGTTTCTTATTCTTGCTGATAACCACTTGCCAACCACTGCACCGCAAGGATCCGCGAAGAAAACAGGCCGTATTATTGAAAGCGGAGTTTGCAGATAAAAAAATATTGCGACAATGATCTGCGAAAGAAGAGGAAGCGGAGCCAACAATTTCGACTACTAGAGGAAGTATCGCATTTAATAGAAGAGCCGCAAGCTCAACAAACGTTATCGTTAAGTTTACAACCATATTCTAGTAACGCCATCAAGTATTCGTATAAGTAGGTCCGGATAGTACCAGATAAACCGTGATTCCGACGTCTCGTGTTTGCGCATATCGAAACTTAAAGGGCGCTCCGAGTTCCCATACCATCATCAGGGATGAGACGACCACAGCATAAACGAAATACCTCGCGAGGGGGTCCGCAGGATCCAGGAAGAGCATCATCAAGCCGGATGCTGTAAAGGCAAGGGTACGCGTTGATTGGTTGTGGTGAGTGTGAGCAGGAAGAAAGAAGTTTTGCATAAAATTGGTGATAGTTGTCGAAAAATGTAAATTCAAATTACAAATAGAGAACGTCCTTGTCAAGAGACACATGGTGGAAATAGAAACTGACCCTGCAAGGGGAGAGGACTGGTGCTTCTTACCTGCATGCACCCATTTTCGGGCCACAAAGATGGATATTCGTCCAAATTCCCCTACCGCTAACACGAATAGCTCGAATAAGATCCACCCAACGGTATTCCATGTCCATGACATCATGATTTAAAATGTTGATGCTTATGATATTTTCACCACGCACAATGCACAGGAAAAAAATAAAGCCAAGGTACCAAGAACAAGAATACACTCATGTAAAGGAACTCAATCTTACTTACTCTATTAACAATGTAAACCAGAATTTCATTGGCATTTTGTGGGAGATTGACCGATTCACATCTACGACCACGGGCCTAAACAGGAGGTCATTTCGACAAAAAGCATGACCGTGCGCGCTTTCTAGCGAGTCAGTGGCCCCATGCATTTTTGCAGACAAACGAAACTTCTTTACTGGCGAGATTCTCTCTCGTGAGAGCCCGTGGCGACGAGTTTTTCGATCGTTTTTCCATTTTTAGTCGAGTCGAGTATACTAGAACATTAACTTCTAGCTTCTGGGCGTCGAGGCAAGTAAGACGACAGCAAGCTAGTAAGCCAGTAAAGATTTTCAAAAATTACATCAGAAGCCTTTTCTTTGTAAACCTTTTATACCTGAGTGCACGGCTTTCCGCGCGACGAAGGGGCTGAGGAACGTACCATATTCGGCTAGCACAAGCAACGCCGTCTCAAGGAGGATCAGCGTGATTGTATCCATCTTGATGGGCTAAAGTGGAGCACAAAGGCCGCACTCAGAATCGTTCCTCTACGTATTGCGGACCTTGAAAAGTCGCGCTCCACACGCCGTCGTTTGTGGACCGCCAGCTTTGGGTCACAATATCCAACACTCAGGTAGCAAAACCGCGCTAATGATTCAACAGTTCAATCACACTCCCCCGCTGTCCGATTTTCAATCCGCCGTCCAGCTTCCCTTTCCGCTACAACTGATGTTGCGTTGAGTCGGCCCGGCTCGCGTCAGCGTCAAGACGACCATTAACAGAAAAATAAGACATCAGGAAGATCCCCACTTCCTCATTCAAACCGCTCTCGTCCAGCGAATTGGTATGCTGCTGATCTAAGTACTACATGCGTCTGATAATCACTAGAAAATTGTTGCTGGACACCCGCTACTCGCTTGCTCGTCTTGTTGTTGCTCATCATACTAAGCTTTGCTGTACTACACGTTCCTTGGCCTCATCTTCACGATTGTGCTCCCGCAACCAAGTATCGTCTACGGTCGTCTGAAACTCAGCGCAATCTACTGCATATGCTTTGGTCGGACAGTCTCTTATCTTGGCAGAACGTCGAACAGGCGAGTGACATGCCTCATTTTCGGGGCTCTAACATGTTCCGTGAGTCGAGGATATACTTGTCGAGGGAGGGCACACTTCATCGAAGCATTTTTACCTAGAAAAAATGAAAAGAGTATGCACAAGGTAGGTCATCGTCGTCGAACAAGAACTTATACCGAATATTAAATCAAATATACGCAAAAAAGTAGTCTTCAAACACCCTGTTGCAACGGCGAGGCCGCGGAAAAAAATACTAGTACTCACTTCAGATACTTCCCCTACTTTTCGCCCACGAGCAAATCAGCGACGCGAAAAAAGTGTTGCGTTCATCTGACAACTGGGGTCCTAAGTTGTGGGTTGGTAGCATTTGATCTATCTCAGCGCAGCCAACATTAACCTGCCTATCTGGACCTATTGGCTCCGAAGAGAAAGGTATTGTGCCAGGCAAATGCAAATCGCTGATTCCACGTCTACCTATTAATTTTTATTTAGCTTAGATAATGACGCTTCTGTTCGTTCGCTTCAATTCTAAAAAGAAGAAACTAAAACTCTACAATATCAAACAGTAGAAGCAAGCAGACAAATCGGCAGGACGGATTCTCACGACGAGCATTTTGAATGATCAGAGAGGAAAACAAACTCCGCGGGAACAACAAAGGATCATAAAAAGGCTATATTAGCAACAAATACACGACGCGCATGAATCTGAGATCAGAAATCCGTCCACCCACGGCGCAATAAGCACGCGTCCGTATATTTCACCTCAAAAATTATTGACTGTAGGTTTCGCTCATAAAAAATTCAAGAGAAAACAGACATACCTCTCTGAAGAGAGTCAACGTGGTCACTCATCTTAATGTAGGAGCCAGCTGTGCCTGTGACGTGGCAGAGTCTTGATGACCGATTAGCAATCTCCACAACGGAAAAGTTTGACTGGCCTTTCCTTGCGCAGTCCCTCTGGAATGCTTACACTTCCTAGAAATGTTGTTCACACCTAAAGCCGCAACCGAGTTACTGCACGGATTGATAATACTCCAATAGCATTAAGCAATAGAAGATTCTTCAAGAAGCATGCATTCGATATGCGCGTCTACAATCTCAGATATCCGATCATTTATGCGTACGTGTGTAAGGACAGTTTTTAAACCTCATCCATGCAGACATTGAAGAATTGATCTTCAAATTACAAAAATACTAGTACTTCTTCTACCTAATTTATTGACTAAAAATAATGACTAAAAAGTACTTCTTCTACCTAGGACTTTTCAAAGTCTAAATTTTTAGAAGGAGTGGAACTGTAGAGAAGACCAATAACACAGTCTATTGCCGCTACAGCTAGCGCATCCACTTGTGCCTTCAATGTTGTGTGGGTGGTTGCTGTGTTTGAAGGAGAGCGGAATGGATTTATTAGAGAAAGTCGTTGGAAGCCTAGCCTAGACACTAACGATGCGACGAAAAGACGAAAGCGACAGATGAAGTACCAGACGAATGAGAAGCTACTTATTAGAAGATAATCTAAGTGCAGTAGGGTTATTGCCACACTACGGCCACCAGACGTCTCATCTAGGCATAAGAATGAAAGAGATGAGTGCTAAAAACAAATATATATATTACGTTTGTTGACCTCGAGAATTACGACCCCTCCCGCATGGATCCAATACGAGAGAACGACAATTGTAAGTAGGTACATTCTGCTTAAAGTTAGTCATCGACGCATGCAAGTTGTGAACAAAGCGTGAGTGCGTTGAAACGGAATGGTATCAAGGACATCTCGATATTTTTGCATAACAAACCCCAGATTCCCAAGGTTTCCATTCTTTTCGGAACCCACGCACTCAATTCGTTAGGTTAAGGCGGTTTCAATATGTTTTCTATTCACAGCTTCACTACTAATAAAAGGTCAGTCTGGAAAGTATTCACCTACACAAGGACTCAAAGATGCTTCATTTTTTCTGTTGCGTATAGATAACATGTATGAAGATAGATTCAACTAGGACATTTCACAGGCGTGGTTATTAATTCAACATATTTATGTTCCTCCGGGGCTCAGGGCTGAAGTCCCCCCCGATCTAGGGAGGCGGCGGGGGGGCGGCCTCCAGCCCCGGGCCCTTTTTTCCGATAGACTGCTGGGCGGGAAGGCCTCCAAGCGCCCACCTTCGCGCCCTCGAGGCTCTTTGCATGTACCCCGAAGAGCCCAAGCCCCTGAGGCCGTTCAGGCACCGACGGCCACGGGTGGAAGGCTTCCGAAGGCGGCAAAGCTTGGCCCCCTTGCCGTGTTGCATATCCCCGACAGACCTCCCCCCGGTGTGCGGGCTCCTCACTAGAGGAGCCTCCCGAGGAGTGGGACGCCTCCGAGGGCAGCAGGTGGCAAGGCTTGACCCCCTTCGCCGTGCTGCATGTGTCCGGCAGAACCCAGGCGGGCACGCTTTGCTCCCACTCCTCCTCGCCTTTGGTCCTCAACCCAGCCGGGCGTTTGGTGGCGGCTGGCGCTGCCACCAATTGGGGGGATGAGCGCAACCCAGCTAAAGGGGCTAGGCCTCGCGGCCGTGGCCGCCTTCTACACCCGGAGGCCGTCCCCCTGATAGGGTACAAGAGTCGGGACGCCTGTGAGGTACACGCGGAGAGCCGCAAGGGGACCTCGGCCCCGTTTTTTGAGACCTTCGACCCCGGGAATCCTCACACTACCGCGGAAAATGGCGCGCCGACGCCACCACAGCTCCATCCACAGGGGGGGAAGGGGGCCTCCCTCCCTGGTACATATATAATGTCCGGATCGTTTTCCAACTCAAACGAGCGGGTTTTTTTCTTAAGTTCTACAACCATTAATGGTTTTGGCTCTTCCTGCTGGTAGACTGCCCCACGGTCGGCGCGATTAGTCACTTGACCTTTCGTTTGGTCACTCCCATGGTGAGTTTCCATCGGGGACCTGTTTACATCGCCTATCGCAACACTCGGGCTCTTTCCACCAAGTGCCGAGAGTTTACACTTGTCGCGCATGCCTGTAAGGTCGTACACTGCCTCAAGCACTCCATGCGACAAATGTGTAGCAGCTGGCGACGCTCCGCCGTCACTCACGCCATAAGCCTTCGCGTGCTCTTCCCGTGCCAAGTGGCTCAGATCTCGGAAGGACTCTAGCTGCCGTGTTCGGTACACCGTTTCTGAATCTGATACCTTCATTCCATAACAAATCAGAAAATCCGTCAGTAACCTATCTAATAAATAAAGACCCTGCGGATTACAGAACAAACCGTCTAAGAGCAACAATAAAAAACCAAAAGGAAGAATCGCAGACAGAGGTATCAACTAAAAAAATGCTTCGATAGATACCAAGATTAAGGTCTGCAAAGGACACAAGTGGCATAGATGATGGGCGTAAGACACAGAAAACTAATGCTCTCTCTCTCTCTTTCTCTCTCATACCGTAGCCGCTGTTAGATTGGTTGTCTCTCACACAGGTGATGCGATAGAACTTGCTTTATTCACCAGCACCGACGACAATGTTCAGTTGTCAGGTCGCACAAACAATATCTATATCGAACAGAAAAATACTTCAGTTTGACCGACCGAGACTAGTGTTTCTGGAGAACCCTCATCTCTCAAAACACAAGTCAAAACCAGACTGCAGAGGCTTACAGAGCGGCGTACAAATTTGTTTTCACAGAAATTCATCTTCAAGGAAACATTCTCACACTACGAAAATTACCAAGAAGACGCGGACTCGGAGTCGCTCCACGCAGCTTCACAAAAAAATTTTGGAGCCTCCTCACAAAAAGCTGAGTTGGATTTTTCTAATGGTGTGGCAGCAGCCATGCGAATGCGTCAGATCCTTGTCATCTTCACCAGTTGCCATTTGTTATAACAAACATGTTTACGCAATTCATTGTACCAAAAAATAGCATTTGTGTTCAGGTGGGTGTCAAAAAGTTATGTGGCTTAGACATCTCCATGAAGGACGATCACGATTAGGAATCACTTGTTGTGCCTTCGTCATTCAAGATGTCTTACTCTATGTAAACTGATCCTCCCCACCTGCTAGCATCACTACCTCCTGAGTATGGCTGTTCGGAAAGTGTGTTGTAGGATGTTGTGTTCCGATCAATGTTGTGTTCGAATGTTGTGATGTCCTCTAAATTGCGCCGAGCGCAGATTCGTGTTGCTTAGCCTTCCTACATTTGAGGAATTTTCGCCGGATCCGTACCTATGGAAAATGTCGTCAAATCAGCAATCTCACCAAATCAAGCTTGTCAGCGTCTTGGTGCCTCAGCGCGAGGTCGAAAATTTCGTCAGTCCCGCGGCCGCATTCCGCCACGCAATTGATCTCGAATCTGATTCACAGAGCATGAAAAGGGATGGAAGGACAAACAAGTGAAAAATTGCTTTAGTAGATGTCGCTTAAGTTGCAACTTGTAAAAGGATATTTGCTCTTTGTACGTACTCAATGAAGAAAGAAGTTATTGTGTGTAAGACAAAAAAAGGATTGTCGAATTGGGGCTCTAACAAACGAAAGGGACCAATTTTTATTACACATCTTCCACAAGATAGCCGAATGAGTCTTTGTTCATGACAGTGCCATCGAGAAATTTTTGTATGTTGAATCCGGGTCCCCGTTTTTGAATTAGCTTGTGCATTTTTTCGACGAAGACCCTCAAAGCATCAGGCATCGCCGCTTCCGTCTCGGAACCTACTGTTGAGGTAGATGGAGTCGCTTTCACCGAAGTTAAGTAGTCCCCAGAAACTGCAGTTTTTAGTTGCTCGTAGTTCACGGATGCTGGTGCCCCTATGGTTGCACTACCTGAAGATGCTGTTGTAGAACTTCTTGTGTCTCCTGGTAACGGCCGCGAGCCTATTATAGTTGTTTCTGGAGCTGCGCCCGTTATCCCCCTGTTCTCGTCCACTATGCCCGAGATGCCAGACGAATTCATCGGTGCGCTGCTTGCTACGTCACCGCGGGCACCGTCTGCTCTGTCCCTTCTTTCTAGTACGGGATTTTCCTCAGATCTCAAGCTAACCGGAGCAACGTCTTCCCGCCGGGCGGTCGAAGAGGAAGACTGGCCGTTCATGTCGTCTAGAGTCTTGTCTAGCCGAGCTAGAAACTCTTTCTCCTGACGATCCCAATACGACATTTTTTTAATTCAGGTCAAGCATAGAGTGTGTTGGAGGATAGGCACTACTCTAACCCAAGGTATCGATAGAAAATGTATCTCGTTGATGCAGGAGATATCTTTCTAGTCTAGATATTCATATCTCACACTTTCGTAGTCCATAGCGGGATCTCCTCTAGTGCCATCCACGTCGGCCGTGGCTTCCTATATTTGGTTTTAAGGTTGAAAGGGTTGTGGCGGGGAAGATACAATACTATTTATTGATAGAAACCCTCCTAGGACACCGCTGGAAACCCTCTAAATTTTCGTCTATTTCAATAACAAGAGCGCTTTAGCTGTAGTGGAGCCTTCGTCGAACACCAGTGACTTAGCATCAATTATCTCAGGATGGAACCTGTGATGGCGCAACAGCCTTTCATGATGCTCTGAAAAAATCAATGCGGCACGCGTCCGGAGAAGATTGCTGCTTCAGATGAGAAAAAGATGAATGTATGCGAGAAGTAGCACAGTAGTTATACGTCACGGAAAACCCGACTTTTTCAGGGAGAAATCGGTATTGGAAAATAAAACGATGAGAGAAAAAATAGTGAGACTAGATTGATGCAGACATCTTTCAGACTTGCCTTCGAGAATGAAAGAACAAACTTCTATGACTTGCTTGTCCGCGGCTCGCGGTGACCATATTTGTCCCACATTTCGGACAGCAGTGCTTCCCTATCACGATCGGCGTCGTCAAGAATGAGGGTTAGGTCGGTCACAAATCGATTCTTTTGCTCTTGCAGGTCCAGAATCTCATCCCACAGAGGCTGAGCGGCGTTGAGTTTCCTTTCATACACAACGCGCGTGTGACTCGCATCCGCACTTGCGCCGCTCACTATAGACTGCAACTCTGAGTGTCGGTGCTTCAAAGTCGCTGGCACTGTGGCGGATTTCTGATGTTGAGACAGAGGCGACGATAACAAATGCCACCACCAGAACAGCTTATACCATCAGCTATATATCAAATCAGAGTCAGTGCAATGGGGTTTGAATCTTTCTATGACTTACGAATACGATATACTTACATTCGTCGTAAGCTGACGAGGGTCGAGGGGCTACCCAAATTATAAAAATGATTGAACCCCGAAGAATGTTATAGTATACCTCTGCTTGCTCCTGCATGATTTTGAAAACGTCCATAAGCTCCTCTAGCAGTTTTTCGCGCTTCCGTTGAGCCGCGTCTTTCGATGCTTGCGCTGCGTCTACGTCGATCTCACGAACGTCAGACTCTCTGCGCGCCAGCTCTCCCGTTAGCGTGGCTAACCGACACTGGAGCACCGCAGCGTCTTCCTCCACTTGTTTCTGCAACTCACCGAGCTCCTGCTTACAAACCAGCAGGTCGCTGATGGTGAACCACACCGAGTGCGACGCCGCCCCTCCTCCTGTCGTTTTCGCACTACTTGCTGGCGCCTTCTTTGTCGGTGAATTCAAAGCCGTATCGCGGGTGTTCCGTCTCTGTGGAGAAACCCCTGCCGCCGTTGACCAGCGTCGCAAAAGTCGACGGGAATCAAAGCTAAGAGTTGCCTCCGCCGAGCTCGCACCAGCCTGATCAGAACACTCAAAGTGCTTCATGTCGATGCTAAGAATCAACTCGGACTGGTCAAATTCAAATCCTTCAGGCAACGCGTCAAAACGAGGCTCCATTACTGGGGGAGGAGGCGGCGCCGGCGGCGGTGGAACTTTCTCAGCCACTACCACATCACTGATTCTCGAAGCACTCACTTGCACATCACGGCCTTCACCACCGACAGCTTTGATTACGCCGGCACCAAGCGATGTGGTTGTTGCACCGCTGCCCTTTTCAGTGCTCGTCGAGGCCAGGTCCGAGGCAAGTGTTGAGGCCACAGAGGATGGCTCAGTCGAAGACGTGCCCACAGCAGTGGAAACTGTTGTGACCGAGTCTCTGCTTTGCGACTCCGACTCCGTTTTCTCTTCTACACCGGCTTGTTCACTTGAATTTTCCGCCAGTTTGACCCCTGCTGCGGACGCCGCAGCAGCATCTCTACTCTCTGCCAACTCGCTTACCTCTTTACTTGCGACTGCAGAAGCCGCGGTAGGCGCACTTACGGTACTTTTAGCTGCTTCTCCTGTGGCCGATGCACTATCCTTTTTCTTGCTATCGCGAACCTTGCTCGACGTACGACTGCGCTTTCCGGATGCGCTCAATGCACCCGAGGCTTTTGCAGCCTTGGGCACCATGCGGAAGCCATCAAGGACTTGCGCAAACTTCTGAACCAGAAATTTCCGTCCTAGATGCCGCAAACGAGACAAGCCTACTTCTACCTCGTGGTCGTACAGCTGCTGCGCCACTATCGCCTGGAGGTGCCTCACAATTGAGAAATCGCGCAAAAACTCAAGTGTCGTGATCTGTGCCGCAGTCGCATCGTCCGCCATCGAGCCGCCATCTGTGCAACTTTCTGCGACGTAGACTCGACCGTCGGCTGACGATCCGATCTCTAAAGTCGGCAGAGGCGCTTGCTGCTTCAAGTCGTCCACGTCTGCTGCATCCTGCTCTCGACGCTGGCTGCTGCTCCTGTCGCCATCCGCGAGAAGCCCTGTATTTTTTTCAAGAGATCCTGTAGTTGCTTCTTGAGATGAAGTCTTTCTGTCAGTGAGGCCAGCTCTTGCGGAAGGTGAAAAACTACTGGATGACGCGCTTCCGCCGACGATGACGCCACCGAACAATTGTTGACTTCCTCGCGCATGCACGACACCATAAACATTTTCGCTGCGAAATGGATTCTCAATGTGTTGTGAAAATGGATTCTCGATGTCAAAGGGATCGTCACCCATCGATCCGAGAAATATACTAGTTTGCAGCGTTGAGGAAGTTTGTGCTACAACAGCACTTTTGCTCGCTTGCGAACTCGATGATGGGCCTTCCTCGTCATCCCTAGGAGAGTCTCGTGGACTTTTTCTAGGTGGTGATGAAGATGATGATGAACCTGGAGCCAGACCGCAAATAGGTTCTTTTCTGCTATGGACACCAGCGAGCTCCTCTTCGTTTTTCCGAATCGACGGAATACTTCGTTGGCGCCCAGCTAGTTTTCGTTCTCTCGCCTTTTGCATGCTTTCCTGTAGCCTCTCGACAAGGAAATCGCGCACCTTTTTCTTCTGTGAGTTCATAACGCGCGAGAGTTCCTCCAGTCCAGTAACATGGTTCACCTCCTCTTTCAGGAGATTCAGTAGGCCCGAACCAACCGCAAAAAGCGCGGTCCAGCCGCGCAAGAAAAAAGCGTCCCAAAGAAATCCGCAAAGCAGTGGGTCAATTACGTACGAGAACAGCGTCATGATCCATTGGTGCGAGAAAATGTCGAGCGAAAAGCCGTAACGAGCAAGTTGACGCTTCAGCCTGCCGTGCCGTTCTTCCGCAACTTGCGCGAACTGGTAGCTCTTGTACGCCAAAAGCGGAACACCAGGTGCGAACAGCTGCTTGTAGTCATAGTGTTCCAGCAACGCAGCGAGCACCCAGAAGCATGCTGCAGGAGAAAACTGCAGGTGGATCAGCAGCACTCCACCGACAAAGTTCATGCCCTGACAGTAGCCAATCTCGGGATGTGATATAGACACTGCGCGCAGCACCTGCTGAAGCATCACGCGCCCACGCCTTTCTGGCGCTGAGAAGTCCTCTAGGTACGGGAAAGTACGACACACATCACGTGCTATCTCCGTTTCCTTTATCTCCGGTAGTTTTTGTACTGCGATCACCTCAAAGATTTCGTCGCTAGTCAATTTGCAACTTCCTGGTCCTGCGTCCCCTGAGCTGGTCACTGCACCCGCCTTTATCTTGGGCGTAGAAGTATTCTCAGCGTCAGTCTCTACAACAATTCTAGACACAGGCATGGCCAGCTTTCCAGTGTCGAAGGTCCACGCTTCAGTAGCGACAGATCTACTCGACGAAGGAACAGTCGAAGTATCTTCAGAAGCCCGCTGCTCAGGGGCGTTATTTCCATGTCCGTCTCGGTTGTTGTAAGTCAAGCACGCACGCATACGGTCTACGATTCGAGCAGTGCGACTAGCACGCAACCAAAGTCGTCGTCGGTCTGAGGGAAGCACCAAACCTCGAAGCACAATGACGCCCAACCACTTTTGTCTCTTACTTTTCTCTAGCATATCCCGCGACACTAAGGCCACCTCTTGCCAGTCCAAGAGCGACAAGAAGCTCACGCCCTTTGCGAATAGGACATCAACCACCGCGAATAATATTGCACTCGACGACTCTCGGTTGGAATTTCTTGCAGGAGGTCTCGATGTATCGGCTGGAGTTTGTGTCGTGACTGGCAACCTGGATGGAATGTGAGTAGGTTTCGCGTCGGCCCCAGCGCAGGGTATTTTTGCCTCGTTCTTCGTGACGATCTCGCGACCAGGATCTTTTACTAATATACGCTGTCGACCATCTTCTTGCACAACATCAGAAAACGTTGCTGCTGCTGAGACGACAGCATTAATAGCGGGCTTCGGTACGTATGGAGGATAGTATTCGATCCCGCGATGTGTTGCTACTGCCTCGATCTCCTTCCTGTTTTCACCGTCAGAGACTTCTCGCCGAAAATCGTCACCGGAGTAGACGACTTCTGACTTCTTAGACGATCGCGCTTGCTCTTCCACACCAGAATTGTTACAGGATGTCGATGAGGACCTTGGCTCACCACCTCTGATTCGTCCTGCTGCATCATTGTTACTAGTCACTACAGTAATATCCTTTTCCCCCCCAGCCCCATTATAGCCCTTCTCCGCAGGCACTATGAGCCTTTCCTCGATCGTCGACACTTGCGTTCGCACCATCTTCTCCATGCGCCGCCAGTCTGCGCGCGCTGGTCTATTGCAAGAAGAATTCCTTGCCTGCTATTTCGAACGGGTCCAGCAGAACACTGCTGGTCCCCGGATACTAGCCCAACCCGGCGCTGGACACGAAGACAAAGTATTCGATGTTCACGCATGCTCTGGCATTGGATCATTGAGTTCTACTACGTCTATATATCTAGTGGAGAACATACCCCATGTTTTTGAATTGAAGTACATATGAGCAAATTGCCGACGCACAAAACATGAATTGCCATTTTGACATTTCTTTCTAGCTGAATCTTATCATTTCCAACTCCAGCAGTACTAAAGCGATTCAGTTCTTGAGTTCCACTACAAGAAACAAATTCTTGTTCTCTCATGAAAACGTCTCTTTGTCCGGCTGAAATATGTTGGGACCCGACTGCGCATGACACCGCTCTTGCATAGCAGCGCATCTCATAATTTACACGCAATTCAAGACTGACCATTTTTGGTCATAAAACTGCGACTGAGTTTCTGCATGGTGAACTATCGCCTGCGTACGTCGTCGTCTATGGCAAATGAAATATCTCATCGCAACGCAGCTGTCGCGTTCGTTTTGTTGCGAGTCCTTTGACTCTCCTGAAACTCACAACATCTCTGCGCTGATCAGAAAGCTGATTTTTGCGACCATAACAAGAAGATTGATAGTCCCATGTTGAATTCACATCACGAGTTGATAAAGAGTTTCAAAGACGATCAACAGGTTCGGTTCGGTTAAGATTGGGGTCATTAGGAAATCAGTGCGTGAGTTCAGGTGGCCGTAGCGTCTTTCGATCGCAAGATTTAAGACCGCTGGTGTATTCAGTGGGTCTCCACCACACCAAAAAAGAGTTGATTCGACTACTGTATTTGGTATCTCCGAATAACTTCTCGAAATGATGAACAGCAGGTTTTTCACAAGCACCATCATAGAGAAGCAAAGATAATTCATATACTTTATGTCACTTAAGTAATTTCATATACTTTATGTCAGCGTTTTCATAGTTTCAAGAAGAGACGACTTGCTTCCAGAACCTGTGAGTTCCGTCGTCAAGTTGTGAGAGTTGCGACGTAGAATGAAAGCGGTACTTCCAGCGAAGATAGAAACTTATGTCAGTCTTCATCCTCGTCGTCGTCGCTATCGCCATTGAAGAGCCAGTCATCGTTTGTTTGCACGTGAGCATAGGCTTGTCCATCCTCTGTAATGGTCATACTCATTTCTCCTGCTTCTGAAGTCGGTTCACCATCTGCGCGCCTCCTTCGTTTTGCCTCTGGGTCCTCATCCTCGTCGGATTCTAGCTCCGCCATTTCTGCGTCCCCCGAGATTATCCTCGTTCGTCGGCCGCCCTCCGAGGTAGAAGCTGCGCCGGGGCATTCGGGAGTAGAGGTGGTGCCTGGTATGCCGTCTGCAGCAACGCCGGGACGGGCTGTACTGCTTGCAGCTGGGGCGGCCTTGAGAACGACTTTTCGAAGGTCTTTTTTGAGATCCACGCCGTCATGAAAATCGGCGTAGACGGTGCGTCCGTCGAATTTGCGTCCATGATAATGGGTTTTGTACATCTCCGCTTCCACTACATCTGCGAACTGCACTGTGACGAATCCCCGCTGTCCCGCACCAAGAAAAGCTAGAATGCGTAATGGGGGCTTCACAGCCGGCTTGGCCTGCCCGTTTTGCTTGGGCAGCAAGGCTGCTTTCGCGTTCACATCCAATAAGCGTCGCGCCTGGGGGTTCCAGTCTAGGTAGTCCTCGAGTAAGTCTTCCCGCAACTCGTCGATGTAGGTCTCCGGATTGCGACCAGACGCTGCGATGGTCTCTGCGTCGAACAAATTCCTTAAGACAATCTGCGACTTCAATTTCTGGGCTCGCTTCGAATCATCCTCATCTAGATACAATTTCTGGTGGAGTTGCTTCGAGCGCGCCCAGTCATTCTTTTTCTTCTTGGCCTGAGCAGCATCGTTCCACTCTGTCTTGGTTTCAGCGATCCGGGCCTTCAGTTCCTCAGTGCTGAGCTGCTGCTTCTGATACTCTGCCCGCTGCACATTGATTGTCGACGTCTCTCCAGCGGCTGAATGATGGCAGAAAAAGAGATGATTTTTCTGTTCAAAATGAAGATGCTATGGTCAGGTTTTGAAGAAAACGTTAGGGAGCCATCTACATGAGCACGAATCTAGTATTTCAAGCAAAAGGTACTATCCCTGTACCTGTCTTTAATTCCCTTTCGTGAAACTGCTTTATCGCTTCGTCGGCCGACTCTTTTCTAAGAAATTTGATGAGTGCATCTCCTCTCTTTTCTGCAGTTCCCTCTTTTGTGTACAGCTTAATGCTCGGTTGCCGTGTCGCAGCGTCATCCTTAATCACGCCGCACTTCGAAAAGATGTCCACTAACTCCGCTTCAGTGATGCTGAGCGGCAGTTGCGACAAGTAGATGTCACTGATGTTCTTACCCGCGTTCCATAAGCCCGCTTGTTTCTCCAGTTTCTTTTTCTCTTTCCAGCGTTTACGCTTCGCTGCGTTCTTGGACAACGTCCCGCCGTCGACCGTCAAAGCCCCTGCACCGGCATCCGCGCTATTCGCTTCTGGATGCTGCTGTGCTGCTCCACCTAGTGCTACTGCTACTGAGCTAGTATCTCCTACTGGAGCATTCGTATGATTGCCCACTGAACTGGCCGCAGGAGTAGTCGCTGCTGCTGCAGGGATGCCGGCATCTACACTAGCAAGAAACTCTGCTAGAGGTGTATCAGCGACGTTGCTGCCGGGATTTATTGCGATGGGTGCCACCTCAACTTGGGCCTCAAGGGCCAATCTCTCCGTCTCGGCAGCGACAAGCAAATCATAATCTGCCACAGGCCGCCAGCATTCGTCAATAATGTCGAATATCAACCTGTGAATGTTTCATGATTCATCGTGATTGGATTTTCTATGTCATTATGTGTTGACTGTTATATATTATAATCACTGTATTGATAAAAGTCTTCAAATTTTCTTCGCATCTGCTTTCGCTTTGGAGACGTGCAGGGCGGCAAATGACCTCGCGCAGAAGCTAGTCACTTGAAGGAGACAGAAGCAATGGCTACCCACCAGTTTGCCTCGAATAAGCTCTTTTTTGAGGCAAGCAAGTAAGCAACCATGCTCCCGAGAGGATGGTAAAATCGCGCTATCATCTGTTGGGTCAGGTGTCTTGCACCATTTGCTCATCCTACCGGTTTTTGGCGGAGAGCAAGATTGTGCTGAATAATGCAGAAGACCCAAATATCTTGATAAAAAGTCTACAGTATCAAGATACTTGTCTGATCTACAATGCAAACCATTGCAGCTGCTGCCACGTGGAAGTAGGTGCGACGGCGGACCAGTCGAAAGTCCTTGATGTGGTCTGAGGAGTATGGCACCCCGTTCAGTTCTTTCATTCTTGCTTGTTTCAGCACGTCGCGCGTGGTCCGCAATCCTTGGATAGCGCATATTTGGGTTAGATGAAAGATCCCAGGGCCCAATGTCAGCAGGGGTCTGCGGTCACCTAAAGGGGACAAAACAAAGGGGACGTTGTCTTGTTTTGAGTACACAGCAAACATATCGACCCACTACAACGTGGCAGCAGTTCCAGCAGCTGAAGGGGAAGCTACCTGCCGAGAAAACAGTGCTACATCACTCTTCTCCATGTGGTGACGATACCACTTTCATAAACAGCATTTGCATCAGAAAATGGTAGCTGTGTGGACGTCTGCTGTACTCTCATCAAGAGTTGGTGTGATACTTTTGCACGACATCAGGTGGCAGCTGCCCGACCAATCGACGAGGCAACAGCACTTGTCTGACAGTCAGAGCTGCTTATGTCGACGCCTGGCGGGAAGAGATCGCCGCGGCCTGTCAACTCCTGCGAGCATCATGGGAAAGGAGGCCCTTGTTCTCTTTTTACAACGAAGTCGTAAGTGAAGGAATTATTTATGGATGCCAAGTTAACGTGTCTGCCAAGATTCAATTGTATTAGAGCAAATTGAATTTTTTGTTTCTACAAAATCATGACAAGCATTCTTAATCAAATCTTTTTTCACTATGGAGTTGCAGTCGTGACTCAACATCGGTATCAAAAATACAATTCGCAGTTGTGATTCGTATGTTGATGGTCGAAGGGCACGCTGTCACTGGTCGGTCGCTTCGGCAAGGCTTCCACAAGCTTAGCCATTTCACTGTCATTCTCGTAGTTGCTTTCTAATTTCGATATCCCCTCTCGCATCTGCGGAACCTCGGCTATCGGCGTCCAATTATCGGTGATGCCCTGCTTGTAACAAAGCGTGCTGCCGTCTATCTGGCAGGTCACAGCTCGAAGCAACAACTGGTGCGGTAGTGGCGAAGCCTGCTTCCCAGTTGCCTGGTCCTGGATCCACCACCCGTGGAGTGAGGCGTCCTCCATCGCCCAACTCTGGTATCGCGCGCGAAACGCTTCCATTTTTCTCTCGACACAGAAAAGTTCCAAAAATAACTTTCTGAAACTTCACTACAACATAGGTCTTTCAAGATCAAATCTACTGTCCTATAGGAAATGAACCTCAGTCACTGATACTTGTGTTGTGATTGAGTGCTGGAAGAGAATGCTCAGTCTACACAGTCCTATCAATGTCACATCAGAATATGGAATCGGAAATATGGTCATGGTGGAGATAAGAAGATGATATGGGTTCAACATCATGAAAGAGGACAAGAAAAAAACGTGTGTCATATAGAGTCATGGTATACGCGTCATCATGATCAATCGGGAGAATCAAAAAACCATGTGGCCTGGAAGGTAGTGATTAAATTTGCTTTCATTAAAAGAAATAATGGAGCCATCTGCAGTTTCTGTGTTAACTTCTTGTTACGTCTTCAAATCAAAATGTACAACATACAAGCACAACCTACGCTTGGACGATGTAGTACGTAAATTGCCAGTGAAATTGATGTTGTCCTAGACAACCCTTCATATCCTCCCTAACGTGATCAAAAAACCAAAAAATTAGAAACCTATTCAAGAAAAAGCCGGAATTGTTCGTCTCGTTTGACCTCCTAGAGCTGTTCACTCATATAGAGCCTTACTCTTCATATTCAGGTCATCAGTAGATCCTCCCGAACTCCACATGCGACTTCTCCCCAACCTTGCAGGCTCTAGCTGAGTCCGTTTCGGACGGATTTGAATTCCGTACAACCAAACACTATTTGAATTTCACCAGAATTTGGTCGCGGCCTTGCAAACTCTTTGTTTTTACTTTGCTTTTGTATTTGCAGCTTGATCTTTAATTATTGAAGTCGATGAAAAAATCGCATGCTCTTAATTGCTGTAGGTTGCGATTTCAATTCGGGATAAAAAGCAATTCACTCTTGAGGGGAGTAGAGTTTGTTCTGTCCTGATGGAAGGGGGTTTTCAAAAGTGCCAAAATCTTTCGTGATTCATCCCTTGATACTCGCCGTTGTCCATACCCCAGTGAGATAACTAAGACGAATACGAACCATATCTTTGAGCATCGAGAGCGTAGCCGGAATCAGGCTCAGCTTTGAACCAGCGACTTCATGCCAGTTCACCGGTACCTCTGCTATTGAGAGCGAGTATCGCTGCGCTAGGACCTAGCAGATCATTTTAGGTTCTTAAGTTTTTTGGAACTAGTGATTGCTACGATTGCAAAAAAAACTCCTTGTGCATATCTATCAACATATTTCAGCGATCAATTGTTGAATGAAGAATGCTACTTTTAAATACGGGAGCACATTACAAAAACCTCTACCACCCAAATACCACAAGCTCAAGGTCGAAAGCCCATCTTCTGATGTGGAGACTTCCAAATAATTTCTCGGCTGCATCCTCTGTGAAAAGCTTGAAGCCACACTGTGTGTCTTGTATTGGCTGCCCATTGCTCGTTATCAATATCCGCACAAGCAAATGCAGGCCCCACATGAAGACATTTCGGTACCTGGCCAGGATTTACAGTAATCAACCGCGAGACTTTAGCACACTAAACGAAAAGTAAACACGATCAGTAGACAGAGCCAGAGGCTGAAAATAATAAAGATATAGAATGGCATGCACGAGAGCGGCCACAGACCTCCAAAACCGCATCCGAAAGGGCCGCACGCAGGGTAGCACCGACGCCAAAGAGGAGCTTCGCTGCCGCTAAGCGCGGCACGCCACTTTCAAGATGCCACGACTTAACAACGCCAGCGCGGCAGCTTCCCGCCCTCCATGGACCACCCAGCAAAACGCCAACAAGAACAGCAACGCATACCAAGAAAACCAAAGAGAGGCGGGCCCGCGTCCGCCTGAGGCGCCACGGGTGGAGGCAGTGCGCGGCGCCGCCCTCCCTGGCTACTGCATGGCCAGCAGCTACGCACGCTCGCACTGCGGGCGCCGTCGTGCGAGCGTCTTCCACTTGGCTGGGCCGTTGTTCTTTCCGCCAACAACGCCCCCCGCGCCAAAGCTCGGGCCCCGTGGGCCGTATTGCTCTTGGCCTTGAGAACAAACCCACGGCCCCGCAAAACCGGCGGCGCCCGCTGCGCCGGCCGAGCCTTCCAGCCCAGGCGACCAATCAATGTACTAGGCCTTTACCGCTGAAGCCAACGAAATTAGAGGGGGGGCGCCACAACACTCCAGGCGAAAAACACGACCACGAGCGACACCCACAGCGACTGCAGTCAGCCCCCGCCCTGCAAGTGTAGGCTTCGGCGGCGGCGCTTGTCTCAGTGTCTTGCTTGCACTCAGACAAGACAAGAGGGCAGCAGCCTCGAAAATGCTGGCAAAGAGGGCCCAGGCTGCGCCAATCTCTTCACCGCACGCAGCCGCCCGCCGCTTTTGCTCCGTCCCTCGTCTGCCTGGTCTAGGTCGCTGGCCCATCACCGTCCGGCCGCAAGGCCTCCCGCGTCTGCAAAGAGCTGCCTCTACTCCTGCAGAACCGCCCGGGCACGTACGTGCCCAGCACGTTGCTACGCGCTAGCGCCACCACTAGACTACCGGCCGCCCCTGGGGGGGTGTTGCTTTCCCTCAGAAGTGCGGCGCGCTCCAGTCCACCGGCAGTATGTCCGGCGAATGTGTGCCGCTGCTGCTGTGACCTGCTTAGCCATCTAGACGGCGGCGCGACTCTGTTCTGCTTCGTGTGGCGCACGTGCGAAGACACGGCACCACGCCGAAGCCCATCGCTGCCCGCGGTTGTCCCTCAGCCGTTCGCGCTCCCTCCGGTCGGGTGGGTTCTCGGCCACTGCCTTCGGCTGTCGTTGCGTGTTGCGCTGCGCGTCGGCTGTCTTCGGCTGTCGGTACCAGCGCGACACGCTTACCGCGCGAGCGCATCGGCTGGCGCTCCTTCGGGAACCAAACGCGAAGACGCGAGCAGGTCCACCCATTGACGCCACCCCCGCCACGCACGGCCCCCGATCGGCCACGTCACTCCACGGCGTCCTTTGGGTCCCAAGCCTGCGGCCCTTTTTCCGAGCGCAGCAACCGAAATTCTCCGCACGAACCCCCGGCCTATCGCATTCATAGAACCCCGGCGGCAGCAGCTACTTCCGCTCAGGCTTTCCCGCAAAAATGCCCAGGATTTGCGCAGCTTGCACATTGCTGCGCACTGCTATCGAAACACGCGGGCCTCGTCGTCTTCACTAAAGACCGCCAAGAACAATACAGCAGCTTGGAAAAATAATAGCGCGAATACCATGCCCGCTTCACAGAGGCATCGCTGGACAGATGATGCCGTGACCCGAACGCGATTTGGTACTTGTTGCTATCGATCTTTTCTTGAAGTCCTGCCAAGTCTGAGAATTTTGTTGCGCCATCAGCATCAACCATGAGCCGCCTCTTCCCTACCGCAGACAGCATCCCTACCTGAAGAATGCACTTGAGCTTGCTGCATAGATCTTGTGTTTTTCACCAGAATGAGTCTGAAAGAACATTTTCGGACGTAACTGTACTAGTCCCAAGAAGCTGCTTGGTATACACAAGTGTCTCGAAGGAGGAGCATGACGACATACAACATACGAGTCGTACATTATAAATATATTACCTTGACGGCAAAGCCTTTGCCCATGTTCTTCTTGAGGCGTACAACGTTCACTTTCTCGTCTGCATATTTGTCCAGCACGAGTTTCGCCGTGGTATCTCCGCTACCATCATCTACCAAGATGACTTCATAGCTCCCCTTCTGCTTCTTTAGAAAACCCAGCGCCTCATCAAGCATAATTGATATTCGCTCCTATTGTTAAAGTTGGTAAGACCGAAATGTCAAAAAAATCCACGATTTTATCGATCTTTTTCAGCTCTTACACTATTCGACTGTGCTAGTATGCTTAAAATCTACAATATCATACAAGCCGACCAAGCTGCATCCAGAAACTTAGGAGGACTTCCTACCTTCTACTACAACTAGCCGTTACATTTGCATACTTCCTGTTCCTCATAAGCGAAGTCATGAATTTACTTAAATATAAATCAATGTACGTAATACCTTCTCATTAAATGCTGGTATCACAACAGACAGGTCCACCGCGTCAGCGTTTTCTCTGGACTTCGAGTCCCGTATATGTGGCGCCACGAAGTATTTTGGATCGAGGTGTTGCACAAAACTGCCAACGACATCGTCATCTCCCTCGGATAGAAGAAGCCACAAAGCACCAAGTGCAATTGCGACTACTGCGACTAGCGCCGCTGAGGCCGTCGCGTACTTACTCATAAGCGCTGAGGCCAACACGCTCTCTATCAGTGGCACGACCACTTGTTCTCCCATCAAGGTCTCTTCCTGCACTCAAAAATCTCCGCCAACAACTATAATTTTCGTTCCCCCCCGTGCGCCTGAGGTGCAGGAAACTCCAGTGCTCGTAAATTCTAGGTGCCGCGTCCTCTTACTGCTAGAAAATGTACTGTTTTTGGGGTTATGCTGCAGCTAGTTCCTCATCACAGCGCAATGCGTGGCATGCAGAGCCGCCTAAGTAAGTAAGAGTTCGTCTTCGCATTCCTATTCCTGTTACGCGAAACCAGGTATCCTCTCGTAGCTTTCTAAACACTTTGAGCGTTCTGTTGTCAAACTCCCACAGTAATACGTCGTGTTCGCGCACGCTTCGTAAAACTGGCAGTACACTTCTAATGAAATGTGTTAGAAATCAATTATTTTGATCTGCTGCGTCTCTGCGCGGTCGCTGTTTCGATCTCACATCCGGCGCGGCCGCCACGAAGGTAAATCAACAGTCTTCCCGTTGGTCCTGGCTGAAAAATACAACTCGCTGCGCGATTCCTTGAATGAAGTCGGTAACCAGACAACGAGTCGCTACAAGTTCCAAGACCGACTGCACCCTTTCGCCGCCACCGAGCTAACACCCGCTGTACTGAATCTGCTTCGCATACCCCTTGTCGAAATAGTGGTCACGGGTTTATCTATTGCAGATCCAATGGTGCAGCAGGCTGATAGAAGCAAACTTGGTTCTCATTTCGTATTCTTCAGATTCGGATAGCGCCTCCGGTATCTTTCTTGAGCGTAGATGAGCAACCAGTACTCAAGAGCATCGAGAACCAGTTGCACGCCGATAAAGCTAGCCGAAACCGTGAGAGCCTTGCGAAGAGTCAGATGCCGGGCGGGGCCACTGGTCAAAATCAAGTTTTTTTTCGTGGTTGGGATCGGAACAAGTAATGGCATGTCGAAGGAACCTTGTCAAATCACATATTGAGCACCGTGTCTAATCACATACTGATTTTCATCCGGCCGATATACTAACAGCAGGTTATTTGTTAGAGTCAGTGTTACCCCATGCATAGATGTATGTGTCACTTTTCCAAAATTAGCAGGCGCACAGGGCCTTTGTCATTCTACTACAGGACCATAATTACCAAAAAACGAGCGGTATTAGTAACTTCATGATGAGTGTGACCGATCAAGAAAGGACCGGCGGAGCACTCTACAATGAATGAAGCACCACTAAAACAGCTCAGATGCCTCTCGCGTACCTACTTCTGCTACTATCACAAAGGAAATATCTCAAAACGCGAGTCACACCAACAGCATGGATGTGTGGCCGAACACTTCCCCTTGTGTGTATAAGAGGTCGCACAAAATTTAGAATAATGTGCACTTCATTCTTACCACATCAATATCGAAATGTACAGTTTTTCGGTCTCCCACTTCCATTATCAGTTCAAATATACCGAAAAGTTCTGTTCAGTACTATACATGGCCGAAACACGCGCTTGCTTCGGCCTGCATCCACGGAGTAGTTTGTCCCAAGTGTTTGTTGCCATATTCTCAAGAAGTTTGATTTTCCAAAATGACTCTTTTTGATTCTTGATGTTCATTCTAATTTTGATCATCGAAGTTGTTGACCGAAGTTGTAGTTTTTCAGTGTTTCTGTTGTAAATGGTATCCAAAAGATGCTGTTCATTTTCATTACAATGTAGCTGGTGGTAGTTCTAGTTGACCGTATGATATCTTGAGAAGAATAGGTAAGATTCTTCCTCTGCTACGCATTAGCATCATAACACGAAATGCTCCAATCTGAATTATCTGATGTTCCCCGAAAAGTCTTGGATGACAAAATCACCTTCAATTGTAATCATTTTCTGTAGTGTAGTTCATTGACCAAGATTCCCTGCATTTACCTGCTTAGCTATGATGTGTGTTTCTTATGGGCAAAAAATAAACATGCAGCAAAAAGAAATTATAACCCACCGTGAACATGATGATGATCCTTCTTTTATGTGTTGCATAAGAATGTTCACCTCTTGTGTCATTCTCCTCTAAATTATGCTGCGTTCTGGAACAAGTTGGGGTTACCACCGTTAGCCTTTGCGACTGCGAATCGGTTATCCCAATCCTTACAGTTATCTGGGTTCACACATGGTGCACCATACAAGCAACTGCAGCCCTCCTTCAAAGTTGGCAATTCACCTGGTTGTGGGTTAGCGAGTTTTGTTTGTGTGACAGGTATATTGTGCCCAATGCAGTGTCTATCGCGAGAGAAGAACGAGGAAGAGAGATATCTGTCATTTATATTTTCTCGGTCACATTTAGACCTGGAACATGAACGAAGTTTCTCACCATCCGGGTATCGGCAAAAACGTCTGTCATTCCCTCCATTTCAGACGCCTTTTCACGAAAAAAACACCAGCAACCGATGTAAGAGTACGGAATGATATGTCTCTGGATGCCAGCGCTAGTATGACGAAGCGCATATGTCTAATAAATTAGGTGACTCGCAATCCCCACTCGCGGGCGGGCGGGCGGGCACAGGGCGCGGGCATGCACGCCAGCATTCGAAGCTACGGCTACCTAGTTGGTATGCGACTATGGAACCGATAAATGGCGACATTAAAGGCAAATATCTAACGCAATGGCGACAAACCTGAGCGGGCGAGGGCAGTGGCGCTTTGGGCTCTTATTCTTTGAAGAAAAGGCGCTAGTTTTTTTCGCGGTCGGACTCGGCAGCTCCGCCAGATCCAGCTTCGGCATCCGCTCTGTCAGTGCCTGCAGGCCAATGTGTGGTCAGCGTTTGGATAGCGACAGGGCAAGTGATGATAATTTTTTTTGCAGTATTTGGGATAGTTAAGGATTCAAGTTTTATACGAACAAAATCTGCATTGAAATCTACCAACTTTTGTTACGTAGCTTAGAGTGTACCTCCTATCAATTTATGTTATAACCCTTAAATGTTGTTGTACCTGATAACATATTCACCGCATATGTTGTACCTGTTGCTGCCTTGCACCAGACATCCTTCATGCGTGCCATGTCAGCTTCATATTGAGCTTTATCCTGTTGGACGTACAGGCAGTAGGTCATCTTGGGCGTCAAACTCGGCCACACACCTTGCGGCTCCTCCTTGATGTACAAGTGCTCCTCATCGTGAGCAAACTCACGAACCTGATGAGCGGTGGTCGGAAAAAGAGAGTTTAAATTCTTTTGATTTGATTTTGCGAAGTTGTAGTTTTTGGACGATACTTCTCTACCGCGACCATGTTTCAAAACATACAAAAAAAACTGTACCGAAAGATGCAAGAAGCACCCCGGCATCACGGTGGACAGTGAGTAGACAGCGTCGATATCGGCTTGCGTCAAGGCGCCATCCGCGTTAAGGGCAAATGGTTCAGCGTAGTTTACGTATTTGATGATCACATCATTGTCTCCGACATCCCTCGGTGCTTCGGCACCTTCCGCTCGGGTCACGGTGATATTCACACCCTCTGGCGGCTTCGTGCTTGCCGGCTTAGCGGCGGCCGCTTGGGATTCAGCAAATCTGGATGGATTTTGTCAATTAGTCATATGAGTAAGTTGTACCATGCTGTGGCAAGAAGAGGAAGCGATACATAGCACGGAATACATCATAGTTTGAACACAAAACCATAAGAAAATCAAACCTCAAGAACAGTCAATAGTTGTACGCGGCCTTCTTGCCATCTATCTCCGCCTTGTGTGCTGCCTCGGCAGCTGCTTTTTCTGCCTCTGCTGCTTTTCTTTCCCTTTCTTCTTGTGCCAATCTCTCCCTTTTCGCCGCCTCTGCAGCCTCCTGTGCAGCGATATCTGCACGCTGTGGTTTGATGAGCCAAAACAGAATTGTTCACATACTACACAATACAGTGTGAATATAGACCCACAAGTATCACGATGGTCACACCAATGCTTAGTCTATAACACGTAGAAAATATTACAAGACGTTTGCAACTACATCCTGGTAGAGCTATGGTTCATTCCGCAACTGCATGTGGTTCTCTCGTAATACATACGGTATCTACCATCTCCTCTGCGGTCTTTGAGAAAACGATTTGGTATTTTTTTCCGGACTTTGACTTCCTCATCAAACACGGCCTGATGAGAGTCTCATCAACCATCTCCTCACCATCGATCATAAGCAGCTTCCACCTAGCGATTGAAGAGAATCAGATTGTAATTAATCTTTCACTCACACAAGGTTGTTGAAAAGGGCTAGTTTGTTTCTGTTTTCTTTCGCTTAATATCCACATCATGACATAACAGGCGGAAGCACAAGATAATAAATATCATCTTGAATATTACTGTGGCTTGACGCCAAAGTAGGCCGCCTGCGTTCCGTCGATGACTGTGAGAACCTCATCGCCCTTGATGTCGAGTCCATGAGCGCCAAAGGCGAACGTGTATCTCACGCAACCTGGTGGCAAAGCCATCCTTTTTTATGTCCAAGAATATCTAAGAGATACAGCCAATGAATGTATTCGACTACAATGTCGTAAATATGCCTATGTTGTGATCACAACAACAAAAACAACAACAACAACAACTAACGGGACGGCTTTGATATGTTGCGTTTCTTCTTACGTTGTGCAAAGATTGAAATCCGTTAAACCGCACTACGCAAAACTCCAGAAAATTTGTGGGTATGGTTCCCTTGTGGGGCAATGGAGAAAATATGAAGAAATCCTGGAATAAATATCGAACGAAAATTTTTTCAACCAAAAATTTTCATGAAAAAAATTCGCAACAACCGGAGCACAGAAATTAAATACACTCAGTGATGCAAACAATAAACGGGAAAAACATGCAGGACAGAATGGGAGCACTCACAGCAGAACCAATTTTTCAACCACTTTGCATGTTTGCCAGATGAAGAACAGCCTCAAGAGCCGAGCACATAGAAAACAAGTAGGCTCAAAAACAGAGATCTCGAATCTCAAAGACAGACCCCTTGCACTGTTCTCAACAGACTAGTTTGCGCTGAAAAAACGAACCTCTCCCTCGTAAATTTTGGATCTTTTCTTTGGTGTAAAAAATGCCTTACAACTCTTTTATAATCTGATACCTTTCATCGTTGAACAGTACCCGCCAGATTTTTGAACATGCAAGAATGCATAGCTTCCGCCGTAGCTAGACCAACAAAGGGAGACGGAAGCAGACCGCGAATTTTATATTTATAAGTGTCCGCGACTGCTTCTTTACGCGGCAGACAGCATTTGTGTATAGAGGAAGGGAATTGGAGGAACAAAAAGCGACGAAGCTCATTATCGTCATTCGCTCAAAAGCGATTGGTGCGTGAGTACAGCTAAACGTTGACACCCACATTTACTCTGGTAGACCCGTGTCGGGATCCTACTTACCATGAGCGGTAAATTAGGATAGGAGTCGGCTCACCTACGAGGAGATGAGCATTCACAACTATAGATATGAGGGTTGCAAGTAGATAATATGTTACTCATGTAGACGATGAACGGGGAAAGAAGTGCTACATGATGACATTACTACCCAACGTCTTGTAGCGATATCGACTCGACTTCCCTTTTACTATACATAGGGGTTCAAGCTGCTTGTGAGCTTTGCATGTATTGGTAGCATATTCATTGATGATTACTAACTGAAGATTATGCACTAGCTAATACGGAACAATAACTCAAAGGCGACCACACTTCGGCCTAGCTCTTACTATAGACTTACAATGCAGGAGAAAGCTATGACAAAACGAAGGATGTAGGATGTTTGTAACAGTACGTGGTTTTTCTTGCGTGGTAAATTGAAAAGAGTTTTAGTTTGCAGAATTTATTAGAAAACGTTTGAACTTTGAGAATTTTTGGAGTAGAGTAAACAGAACATGCGTAGCTTCTATGTCTGTCATGTGTGGCCACGCGTGTGTGATGAATGTGGGCCAGAAGCAGCGGGGTGTTAAATTGTGCATACTTAGCCAAACTCGCGCTGGCATAATAGCCTCACTGAAAAAACTAGCCGGCCTGCGACTGGCCTCAGTCTAGACGCTCGCGGCCCGCGCGTTGGTCGCTGTGGCAGCAGGAGTTGAACACAGCTCCGCCGCCAAGGTCAGATCTGCCCGAAGTTCCTACACAGTAGCAGCAACACCAACCTGCTGACTCTCAGTCAAGACGGGGACCACTTTCACAAGTTTCGGCAATGAGCAGAGGAGTGCCTTCTTATTCCTCACAACCCAGCCGAACACGGAAAGGGACCCGTTGGACACCTCGGGCCAGGTCTTCGTCGCCCCTCCTACGCGATAAAGCGTCAGCACCCTCCTCGTAAGTGTGCTGTCCGGCGCGGTGGCGCCACTGTGCCACCCCCTTGCACAACCAGCGCCATGCTTATCAAGTGCCGACGCTCCTGGCCTCCTGTCCCCCTACCCTGAGTACCTCCGCACCCAGGTCCAGGCACCTAGCCGAGTAAAGACACAGACAAGCCCACCCGGCTCCACTGCCCTCACTCCATGGCAACCCCCTGAATTGCTCACCACCAGAGTGACCACGCCGCTAAACTTGTAGTAAGAACAGCGCTCAGTCTCTCGACTCCACCGACGAGACCCTCTGCCGTTTTCTGTCCAGCTACATTTATCCCCTAGGTAGTGCACGTCTACCCTGCGTTGTTCTTACGCGAGAACATTCTAGAAACTGCCCAAGCAGGGCCCATACGCTAGCGATCCGCTAGGCATATCCCTGCCTAGTTCCTGGCGACCAGCCGCGAGACAACTCGCCCCAACTGGGCAGCTGATGCTGACGCCCTCGCGTAACCTCCCCGCGGGTCGCGCGGTCCACCTACAACCCGAGCACGAACCTAGACCCAGCCGGAACTTCGTTCCCCGCTGGGCACTGCTCTTAAAGTGAGACTATTTGCGCCTATTGTGGTGAGCTCGGTATGCTACTACTCCCATAGGGGAAATGAAATCATAAGAAAGTAGCTCTTAGTAACTATAAGAAATAAGTACCCATAAAATTCATGTCCTAACTAAAGTAGCGAAGTATGTAACAAGTCTAAAAGAATTGTGGAGAGGCTTCTAGAGGAGAGTCTAGCGTTTCTATGTTCGTTCCTTTCAAAGGCAAGATTGGTGATATCCACGACCAGTCCACGCGTCGGAATACACTAGCGCCGGCGTGCTCGCTGTCACCTTCTCCGTTTGCCGCCCCTGCTTGGCGGAGCAAATTTTTCGTGCTTCACCGGCTCTGCATGTGGCGCTTCTACTTGTTTCACTGGTACAGCGCTACGCCGGTGACCCTCAGACGTCGGGACGGTGGGTCTTTTACTACTCCTACCCTCACTCATGGCCTGGCCCGGGCCGTCCACACAACCTCCTGGGTCCTTTAATCGACTCCCTGGAGCAAACGCCTTCCTACTAGAAGTACTACCTCTTGTCTGCATATTTGATGAAGCTGATCCACTGGCTGCATACTGTGGCTCCACCTGTTGGTTTATTCTGTAACAACCATCTTCGTGTCGCGACAAATCACGCCGCAGTTCTCCTATCTGATCTCGCAGCATGGCACCCGACGAAGACGAAGTTCGTGTCGCACCTCGATAGTGATCGGCTTCGACGGCGCCGTGGACGAAGGTAGCGCTGTACGACGGATCCATTCTTCCACCAGCAATCTGTCCTGCTCCCGATGGCTCCGCATAGTACACTGGCACCTGCATCGAAGACCTAGAATCTCCGGGAGGCTCCAGTCCGAAGAAGGTCAGAAGCCGCGCTCGTTCTGCCTCGGGGATGCAGCTGCCCGAGTACTTGCCCTCAAATTTCCATAAAATATCGTCTTCTCGCATTCTATCTCGTTCTGTGCGCGCCAATTCGAGACCATGCTCCTCGAATCTAGTTGACCGCACAAAATTGTTCCGTCTCTGGATCCGTTCCAACCTCTGCGCATGGTCGTACACAGAAGCTCTAACCTCCCCGATGCGAGTAGCGAGACGCTGCCTGTTGTTGTGTCAGGATGAAAATGAAATAAATGCATCCATGCTGTTTCTGTAAAGACCAAAGATCAACAAATGCGCGAAGCATTCACACACCACCAATTTAGTGTATCAATGTGAGGCAGATGAAATAGAATAGATACCAACTAAAGTACTCCAAGTACCTCCGTATCCGGTGCGCTTTTTCGCTTGCGTTTTCTGGTAGATGTTCCATGTTTTCCCACACCTCGACCTCGCGGCAACCTGGTGGCAAAAACTGTGGCGGATCGTAGTGTACAGAGTCGGTTGGAGCGCGGTTGAATGCCCAGAACAATACAACTGTTGCCCCATCGGAAACGTCTTCTAGTAAATCATCACCGCGCAATGGCCGGCCGTCCCCGGAATAAAATGTGTAACCTGTGGTCGAAGTTGTAAGTGAAAATTCATGAGGATGTCACTGGAAACCCACCTCCGTGCAGGAAAATTACAAGGTCTTTCATCATACAACAACATCTGCAACTCGTCTCAATCGAGTTTCAATCCTCGTCCTAGAGCAAATAATTCATCAGTCCTAATAGTAGTAGTTGTAGTAGTGTACCCAATCGCGGGGTTCTAGACTGCATACTCCTTTACTGTGAGATTAGAAAGCCGAAGCATACCTCTTCCATCCCAGATTGTGTCGCCGTCTGTGAAAACGGAATTGTACTGCGCTTCCAGTATTCCTTCGAAGTCGATGTAGAGGTCTGATACTTTTTGCGTCTGGGCACGGCAAAGAGTTCCACGGGTTCCCATGAAACGAACGAACCTCAGAGTGGGTGGCCTCCGTGGCATAAACTCCTTGTTTGGAGGCCGCGGCATCCTCTCTCTCCTGTACCGAACAGGCACAGGATGAGGACACGAGTATGGCTGAGCAAAAAGGGAAGCGACGTGGTGACAGTCGCGTATGTTGTAGTCTTTGTGTGGATGGTAATGGTGATGTACTACTTACCCAGCAGAAGAGTGATTGACTAAATACTCAGCGTCGTAACACCTCTTACAAATATCATTTTTTAATGTCATATCAAAGGAGGGATAGGATTCAAGCTGAGGGCATAACAAGGTAGTGAATGAATGCATAAGATGAAATGTAGCGATATGAATTACGGGAAAAGCGTTTCCGTCGAAATCCAATTACAAATTCGTCAACGAACTACAAACTATAATGTAACTTAACGAGGCTCTTGCGACCTTGCTAAAGCTGATGCTCGCGACACATCACGAGATCAGAATAAACGATCCACTATCAAATTCAAAACTGTCGCAAGACGCACTACACGACTCCGACAAGCACGATCACATGCCTGCGCGTAGGTTCACTTCCAAATCTAAATCGTGTCCATCGCTTGCATGATTACAAAATCAAAATACAATTAAGTAAATACGTACATCATAAACGAGCGATAAATCTCGGTGTAAACAGGATCACTAACTACAGGCGAGCAATATTAAGGCAGCATTTACGGGAAGCCGCAAAAACCGATCGACAATTGGGTCAATGTGAAAGATCTCAGGGGAAGGTTCAAAATATCTCCTCAGTGCGCCTGACACTGATCTGCTGGTGATCGATAGTACAGTTGAGGAAAACAGACATGCTTTCAAGACTCCCAACTTCCTCTCAAGACATACCTCAGTCGATGTAGCAGATCTCTGACTTTCGTTTCTTAAGGGCGAGCTCGACCGATAATGACGTCTCGCCAGCAGCGAACAATTGTTGCCAGGCCTCATTCAACCGTCTTATTCTATACCTGCACTCAGCTAACGACAGTGACTACGAACATATCCACTGGTAATCGTGTGCGTGTGTCTGTGTGTGTGTGTGTGTGTCTGTGTCAATCTCAGAGATGCTACGGTAGAAAAGGCACATATCGCAAGTGGTTTGTAATTTTGAAGTATTTTCTGGGGTCATTTTCTTCGCATGATCTCGCGATAGGAATCTCAGCATCTATGCCGTGCAAAGATACTTACGAGTACAGTCTGTGATCTCTTGGAGACACGTGTGGCAAGTTACATATTTCGAAAATCTATGTCGTGCAAGTTCGCTGCAGCCGGGCAGCAATGCATGCATATGTCGCTGTTGCCAAATTTCCTGATGACCGTAAAGACTAGATCTGAAAGTGCTTCTAGAAAGTCCAGGTCGGGCAACAAGTACTTTTTGAATTCATTATCAAGAAAGAAGGGACCCGCAGTTATCATCATGTGACGTGACATTTCTATTAAGACCAGGCAATGAAAATTTATCAACTATGACATATCCCTGTATTCACAAAGAGTTTAGCATTTGGAAACTTTATTAGCTTCCAGCCAATATTACCATGACGCCAAAATCTATAGTACAATCACAAAAACTCAAAGAAAGTACTACTTCCTTGTCCTGGTCTGATCCATTCGATTTTCACGTTCAAAATCTACTCATATCAATCCATAAGTGGGTGAAACAGGCACGATAGCTGTGACCCACCAATTTACCGGTACTTCGGTGAAGGCTTCTATCATATAGTTCGAATTTATACACCGCCATCGTCCGATGCCGCGGAAGAACGGGCACTTCTGGGCTCTGGCTCTGCGGTCTCGACATCTGTGGCACTGTCCGAGACTTCTTTCGTCGCTATAACTTGACTCTCACGACTTTCGTCCTCATCCTCGTCTCCAAAATCGGGAAATTCTGATTTTTTTGATACTGTTAATTAGTATGATAGGCACATGAACTGATTTCTTTGCATACAAGACATTACACTCGGGTACAATAGACAAACACGTCCCAGACAGGAGCGTATCAGACAAGCTATTATAACCCGGGTACAAAAATAGAGTAGTACCTTCTGACGCCATCTGTTCAAGCTGGCTCCTTTGCGTGAAATACTGCAGCCCGCAGAGCACTGACCCGACCAAAATCACTGCCAGGGAAAATCGTATCGCCAGACTGGCGGAAAACACTTCTAGCATCCATGTACGGAGACCTAGATAGTTTCCAATTCCGTGGTCGCTTCATTTTTATCTTCGTGTAGCTTAACGAGCCCATAATTGCACTGCTTGATCCATACGACGAAGTGCTTGATCATGCTCTATGATTAAAACTTTTCAGAAGCAGCAGGTGAGAGACCGATACTACCAACATTGATTAGCTCTTATAGCAAGGAAAAATCTTCAAAGTCACAGTAAGAATCTTCAAAGTCACAGTAGAGGGAAACCTGGCTTGGCATCCATCACATTTCGCCGCTTCTCTATTGAAAATTTCTTCGCGTCATCGCCTGGCAACATTAAGGAGAGACTGTCTCCTATTTCAGTAACTTGCACTGCCACACAGCCCAAACCAGCGAGCAATACCGCGAGAAGCAGCCTCTTCCCATCTATGAAGTGAATCATCTTCGCGGCGCGATCTCCCTTCTGGAGAGGGGGTTGCAATTCTGCACAAGCGAATAATGAGCGCTACAAACGAATCAACTACCGCGCCGGTTCCAGCAAAGCGGTGGAAGACCTTCTCTTCAGAATCTGCCCGACTGCTTCACTCTTCTACCATGGACACTATTCTACTACTGTTGTATAATCCCCAGTGCTATATTACTTGGACTTGTCGTGGTGTGTACTTGTATTACTGAGCTAGGTGGAAGCTGGGGTTTCATCCAAACTCTCTTCTGAAAATTTTCCTGTCCACCGCAGGCGCTCACTCGCAGCTAAGGCACCTTTTGCAATGCTCGTAGGTACAACTTCCGCTTAGGCTTAGCCAGTGCGTGATTTTCCTATTACTTTCGCATGCGCCTGCTCTTCAAAATTTTGAAA